ATAAATAAATGGTCAGAGAATTCAGCCCTGATTTCATGACAAAAACGTTTTTGCCATCAACACCGATATCTAAAGATAAAACAACTGAATTTAGTTTACTCAATTTACACAAGTCTAAGGAATTTTGAAAGAGTTAAGATTTCAATGGATGAAAAAATACTTCAAAGAACACTGATATGTGTAAAAGTTAGATTGAAACAAGGTGATGGTGATGCTGGTCAACAAAACTTTTCTGCTCAATCCTAAAGTCTTTATGTTAAAGATCTTCTACATGAATATATTTCGATGCAGTTTACATCTGCCTAAGATCAATATTTTTATCAAGATACCACATCTAGCCTTTACTCAACCAAGAGTTCCAAGCCAGCAATATTTTAGGTCAGAGTTGATTTCTCTTAGCATTTTTCTAGAAAAGAGTATCTAATAAGATAGACATGTTGTACTGGATTACATGTTATCAGTAGCAGGACCCACTCAACCAAGAGCCTCAGGGAAAGCACAATGCAGTTTATACTGGATTACATTTTATCAGTAACAGAATGATCATGATGATTGTGAACCTGACCTCATTTAAAGTAGTTAAAAGTAGTTACTTCTGTAAACTCTAACACATTGCTCAGGAGTAAATCAAGCCTTCCTAGGAAAGGCATGCAGTTTTTTGTCTTGTATGACCACATGCAAGTATTTTATTTAAGACAACTTGAACACAGCCGATTGCAAGTTTTAAAATAATCAATGCTGAAAATGTTTCAAAAACAAAAAAAGCAAAACTAACAAAGTTAAAAGAGAAAAAAATAAAAACAAATTAATAATTTAAATAATTTGTATATTGTTTTTATTTTTGTTTCTTTAGAGTGGTTGTTACATTCAGCAACAAAATTAGATAAGGCGAAGCAAAAAAATAACAGTTTGAAATCTACAATAAAAAGAATGATTTTCCTTTTCTTAATTTTTTTTTTAAGAGGATAGCAAAAATACAAATTGAAATTTGTTTGTAAAATATATTTGTACAATTTTAATGTTGAATTAAGTGAATGCAAAACGCAAAATCTGGAAAAATGTCTAGTATTCAAAACTTTAGTTTATACAAAACCGTGTTTCTTGTTTTTAAGGGGAGAATCAACTTAAATTTGTAAGCAAAAAAATAAAACAATAAACTTAAAATTACAAAACGAATAACACTCTAGTCACTAACTGCATTACAAAATTAATAACACTATAATAATGTTATTACTTTTAAAACGCACTTATAACTTTTAAAATTCATTCTTTGTTCAAGCAACATAAGTAATGCCAAATTTTAATTGAAGTAGAAAAATATCTAGAAGAATAAAGAGGATGTTCAAATAATATTTAAAACTTAAATAACTTATAAAAACATGACAAACAACTTTATAAAATTGTAACGTATTGAAAGTTTAGCATTATGAAAAACATTACTAATGGACCGTAAAAAAACGCTTTAATTTTAAAATTAACCAATAAAAATTTTTTATTGGTTGATTTTAAAATTAATGCGTATTTTTACGTAAATGTTTTCATAATGCTAGACTTTTTATAAAATACTTTTTTATAACGTTGTTTAAGTGATCTGTGAAAGTTCCTGAAATTTTTGATAATATTTGAATATCCGCTTTATTTTTTCTAGATGCTTTTCTACTTTAATAAATGTTTAGAATTAACAATGTTGTTTGAACAAAGAATGAACTTTAAAAGTAATAAGTGCTTTATAAATGTAATAATACTATTATAGTTTTATTACTTTTATAATACAGTTAGTGAATAAAGTGTTATTACTTTTGTAAATTTATTGTTTTTATTTTTTTTTTTTGTAACTTTCTCGCTAGCAAACTTTTGATAATTTCCTCCTTATAAACAAAGTACACAGCTTTGCATGAACTAAAATTTTAAAGACCTAATATTTTACCAGAGTTTGCAAATCGGGATCATATAATTTAACTCTTGATATATACTTATTACATTATAATTATACAAATATATTTTACAAACAGATGACAATACATATTTTCTCTTTCCTCTTTAAAAGAAAAAAACACATAAAATATAGGAAAGTCATCCTTTTTAACGCCTAAAATTGCTTTTTTTGTTTGTTTGTTTTTTTGCTTTGACTTACTGAATTTTGATGTCAATAATGATAACCACTAAAAAAAAAAGATAAAAACAACACACAAATTATTTAAACTATTATTACTGTTTTTTATTTAAGTTTAATTTCTTATGTAGTTATTAAATTTAAAACTTTTTTCAGCAACGCATATAATAAAACTTGCACAAATGGCCATGATCAAGTTGTCTTAATTAAAAAACGTTTTCATGGGCGTACGAGACAAAAAACCGCACGCCTTTCCTGGTAAAGCTTGCGTAATTTTATGCATAAATGAACATTGTGTCTGAGATTTAGACTTAGCAAAAACTAATTTATGGTTGAATGAACATCATGACAAAAAACATACATTTATTAACTTATGATTGATTGAACATCATGACAAAAACATACATTTACTAACTTATAGTTTATTGAACATCATTACAAAGGCCCAGACAAAATAAAAAAGATAAAAAAAAAACAGCTAAAAAAGATGTTTTATCATTAAAAAAAAAATTTTGTAGTATGGCTTTTTGAGTTTTTTAAAAATTAAAAAATAGAAGTTAAAAAACTAAAGGTAAAAAAAAAAAAAAAAATTAATAAGTATTATATTATTTTTTTTAACTTGATTATTTTTCTTTTTGTCTGTACCTGCAATAAATTGAACTTGCATTCCTAGGCTATTGCTAAACAAAATAAACATGTGGGGACCCTTTTCACTTGTTTTTGACCCAGCCAAGGCGTGTTAAATATCTTGCAGAGTGCTGTGGAGACTATTGAAAAATAACATTTATTTATAACATGAATTTTATTTATATGTTATATAAATAAAATTTAATATAATTTTTTACTCGAAGATAAGAAGTTATGTTTTGATTGTTTTTTGTTGGATTTTTTGATATTTTTAAAATATGAAAATTATAATCGTGATTATTATTATAGATCATGCTTCGAAGAGGTGATTTGTCTTTTCATCAAGAAATGAAGTTTAGGAGTCGTCTTGTAGAAGATCTAACTAAGTGGGTGCTTTACGCATCTGACGAATCAAAAATAATGTCTCAAGAAATGCATGCTATATCATGGTACAAGCTTAGATTTTCAAAATTTTATTTTCTTTGAGATTTGTATTTTGTTCGCGTTTCTACTTCTAATTTATTGAATTGCAATTGTTTTTGATTTTTTTAAGTGGTCTCGATGAAGCAGCTATGAGAGCTGTAGCAGCACTTCTAAAAGGTTTACCATTGCAACCTGAAAATATTTCTAATGATATCACAGAAGCTAAATCAACTCTTTTTTTAAGGTAAATTTTTTTTATCTGTTTTTATTTATTACAAACTTAAAGGTAATCTGGCATATTAAAGCAAAAGATTGAAACTAATAATTTATATTAATCTGTAACTTCATACTAAAAAAAAATTTATATTAATCCGTAACTTCATACTAAAAAAAAATTGTTCACTAAAAAGTAACAGCCATTATTCAGGTATCCATTTCATTTTTGTCTTTAAACTCAGTAAACCACCTCAGTAAATCAAAAATTTGTGTATGATTTAAAAGTTCAGAAGTCCCAAAATTTAGGATATTTTATATTAATTTTTTTTTTTTGTTTTATAGAAAGTATGATTTTGTTTTTAACTAAATATTGATTTGTAACATGGAACAAATCAATTTATAGTTAATTAGTTTATCTTTGTACCTTTATTTTACAATCCATTTACTCTTCTTATTCTGTTTTAATATATAATAATAATAATAATAATTATTATTATTATTATATATATATATAATAATATATATAATATATATATATATATATATATATATATATATATATATATATATATATATATATATATATATATATATATATATATATATATATATATATATAAACCAAGTCAGAGCGCATCACAATGACAGATACATTTTGCCCTTTAGGATAGATCATTGATACTACACCTTTTTGATAGTGATAATACACCTTCTTGATAGATCATGGATACTTGTGGTGCTACAATTCTACACAGAATTGTCAAAAACCCTAAAATATAAGAAGTTCCGACCAAGGTATGAGCACTCACATAACAACTAGTAACTCCTTGTACAGAAAATTGTTGTATATATTATCTGTATCATTGTTAAACCAAGTCAGTGCATATCACAATCACGGACTTATAATATACTAGCAAAAAGCAATCCGTAATACGAGTTTTGGTTGGTCTGTTACATAATTAATTTATAGTGGCTGTTTTCCACAATTTAATGTTGCAAAACCTTAACTAATACCCTTTTAGAAAATCGCCTTCAGCTTGAAAAAATTAATCCATCTGTAAAGTTAACATAAAAAGTATGAGGAGGTAAAATAATTTACCAACTACTACTTAACATTTACAATTACTACTTAACATTATTTGAGTAATTTACAAATGGCATAGATCATAACAGTGTAAGGCAGAGCCATTTTCATTGACCTTCCTAAGTTTAACACAATACGTTTTTAGTTACTGACACAAAATAATAACACTTTGTCATGCTTTAAATTGACGAAAGTATCAACAAAATCCTTGTAATAATTTTTATAACACAAACCATTATAATTTAAATAAAGTTAAAAAGAATAAATTATATTATACAGGAGTTATCAATTTTTTGGTATCCCTTTGATTAATTTTTCTTTAGAAAAGAAAATTGTTAACTTAAAAATGTTTAATGCACACATTTAAATAAATTTATTTAAAATAACAAAGTTTATTATAAATAACTAAGCAACTGAGTACAAATACATTTCAAACAAAAAAAATTTAATTTACGATCAAACATGGGTATAATAAATTTGATAAAATATGTAAACTTAATGCATTAATGCATCATATGACAAACCTAAAATAAAAATTATAACAGATAAGTAGACATAAAAATTTGTAAACCAAGCTGACCTGACTCGGGTCTTGTTAAGTCTGTTCAACACAGACCATTTCTATATCATTTGTTTGGCCTCTTTATTTCATTAGTTTTTAGTAAACGGTATTTTGCCACCATTTACTAAAAATTCCTTTTGTAACTCGAAATTTAATTTTCTTAAATATTTTGACTCTAATAAAAAGGTTCCTCCCCTCTTTTTGCTTTAATGGTGAATAAAATAAAATAATAAAATGTAAAACAATGATCTACATATATAAAAATGTTTTCTTTCTTACCTCAAAAGTGTTGCAAATACAGACTAAGCTAACTAATTAGTTAAACATAAATAAAACTTGAGTAACTCGATATTAATGCGCAAAACTACAATATTCTCAAAAACCACTACACAATTACTGAAAATCGATTTACCTATTTATAGTAACCTATTTATAGTAACTAAATTTATAGTATAATTATAACCTAGTTACCTATTTATAGTAACTAAATTTATAGTATAATTTTGAAATTGCAGTTAAAGTTTTATCGAAAATGTAACTATAAAATCTGTTTCGAAGTACAAAAGCATTAACAATACTAAAAAAAAAATCAAACTAAGATATAAATTGTTGTCTTGGCTTTTATAGTTTAAACATATATACAACTATAAACAAATAAGACTTTATAACACATAAAAACACATTTTACAACTATTGAATGATAGATATATTTATCAAAAACTATGAAAAAAAATAAATAATGATAAAGTTATACATACAAAATGTGCTCAAAACCTTTAACAGTAAATTTTCGAAATGAAAATCTCAAGACTATAAATTAAGAACATTAAAAAATATAACAATATTTGTTACATTTTTTTACCTACTATACCTTGAAAAGATGTTTATCAATTTTGAAAAACAAACTATTAAATGCTCTAGTTCTTGAAAATTCAACATATAGTTGACCATGAAAGAAACAGTTTTTGAGATATTTCTTTTGTCTATATTTTTAATTTCGCGTTACGTAATATATAGACGATCCCTAAAAGAAAATACTTGAAACTAAAAAGATTTTATTTATTACAATAACCAATAACAACCAAGGGACAATTAAAAGAATTATATCTTTAAATAGCAAATTATCAATCGCAGTATTAAAAAATACGCAAGAGCTCAGTAATTACATAAGTTTAATCTATTCTCCCTCTATACTAATTCTTATTTAAGTCTTATCTAAGAGAGAAAGAGGAAGTGTTTTAAAAACAGCACATTAGAAAAAGTAAAAAAGTCATGCAATAAATAACAGTAACTGGTTTCATTATGCTACCAATAAACAAAATTATTTTTACCTTATCTAAAAGTTAATTTCCAGCATTTCTTAATTAAGTTCCAGCTTCTCTTTAACTGTTGACAAATGATTAATATTGTAAGTTTCACATCATATTAAATTTACAAAATTAAAACCATGTTTCAACAGTTAGCAAAATAATCAAGTGATGACAAAGACAACTAAAAAAAAAATGAACACAATTATGTTTAAGATTACAAATGAAAAAAAAAAAAAAAATCATTAAAAATCGAAACTGTTATTACTTGTTACTATAAATAGTAAAATTCATACTTTAAAATTAAAATATTAAAAATATTAAAATTCATACTTTAAAATTCATATTTTAAAGTGTCTAATGTAAAATCAAATAATAGACATCAACACCGCTTGACACTGAATTCTGGCAAAAAAGTTTTCTGTTCATCAAGCAAAATTTCTTATATTTCAACAACAATTAATTTTATCACGCCTAGATCTATTTCTTTCATATGACAACAATTTCAAGTCACCCATAACCATTTACACTAATAACTTCTTCGAGCTTAATATTATACATCTGTCATCATTAAATATATTACCAGTGATTATACTACTGTTACAAATGAATAAATGAACGTTTTATATTTTTACAACTGAAAAGTATAAAACAAAATTTTTGACATTATTTTAATTTAGCAAAGAATTTAGACTACAATGCAAAGTTATTTTTACCTTCAGGCACAATCTTAATGCACAAAAATAATAAATGCAATCTAATGCATCTTGCATAAAAAATGAAGCAATGTTAGTCTAAAGTAATATATATATGTATGTATATATATTCAAATTCTTTCTATTCTTTTTAATTTTTTCTATGAGATAATATTTATATAGATTCAGAGAAATATAAAATATTCTGATATATAGGCACATTTATGTATATAAACTTACCTTTCAAAAATTACAGTCAGTTTTCCATGTTAAATACATAAAATATATATCTAATATAAAATAAAACAAAACATTGAACTTACTCAAATCAGTAACAGTTCGACTGTCTAAAAATTTTTATTATTAACCCTTCTATTTAAAAAAAGAAACAAATGATTTGAAGTGACTAAAAAGCACTTTAGCTCTTTCCAATTGCACTAAAAAATAAAATAAATTTTTGCCAAACAATCTGAAGATTATGATCTTAAGAATCTGAAAACAAATAAGTAAACCAACCAAAAATAAAAAACCAAGAATAAACAAACATTTTTTTTTATTAAAACTACTCTATTTAAACAAATTAAATTAAACAGAGAACAACATTAATTCTCTTTGAAAGCTGAAAAACTTTTCAGCTCAAATTTGCTTGCAAACCTTGCTTATAAAACCGCTTGAATAAGAAAAGCATCAAAAAAGCCTAGAAGCTACTTAAAAATGGTATATGTAACATTGAACTTTGAATGTTGACTGGAGTAGATATATATTTTTAAAAAATTCAAAATGATTTGTTCTTCTATAGCAAATAAAACCACTATAAATCTGAAATTAAAAATTGTAACAAATAAGTAAATATAAAGAAAAACATCATATATGAATTGAAAATCAATGTACCTGATAGAGATCAGCTGTTGTGATACCTGAGTAGTAGTAACTAAATATTGTTTTTTCATGATAAACAAAATGTATTTATAGCGAAATGGTCTTGAATGAATTTTAGTAAATAAATAAAAGCAGTGAGTTCTAGTAATGAAACTACCTATTAATCATTTTTAACAGCTGACACCAACGTAAAGATAAGCCAAAGGTAACAACATTACGCGAAAAATTATTAAAGATAATGCAATGTGTTTTCAGAATAGTTATATTAAAGGCTAGGCAACACTTAGACCTAAAGCAGTGCTTGACAGGTAAGAATGAAAAATATATCTCTACACGTTTGCCAAGTCACACCACTTTGAAATCATGGAAACAACATTATATAAACATATATACAAACTATAAAACACAATATATATTTTTTTAATGTTATATAACATGTAAAAACACTTCATTTAACAATCATATACACATTAGATAAAGTACATTTCATGCTATTATAAAAACACATTTAAATTAACAACTATATAACATATATCACCTCATTTAACAATCATATACACATTAGATAAAATACATTTCATACCATTATAAAAACACATTTATATAAACAACTATATAACATATATCACCAAATACATGTATTTATCAAAAACTTTTTTAACTTCGAGCGTAATATAAACATATATGCAAACTTTTAACAACTATAAAACAATATTTATTAGCATCAATTATTTTTAATGTAACAAAGAATGCAGATACAATGCACAACATTGTTAATAAAAATGAAGTTATATCAGTCAGTATATATTAATATAAAGCAATGAAAAAGAAGAAACCATTTAAGAACAAAATTAAAAATTTCTAATAAATACATATTTAGATACCTTAAAATGAAGCATAGAACAACACTCTTTTGACAAATTGCAGAAGAAATTTTCCCAATTTTCTATTCTTTATTATTTATCCTTAGAGAAAATATATATATAGATATAGAGAAATATTAAATAGACTGAAATAAATCGAAAATCTTAATTTATGTATGAGAAAATAACTTGAACTTACTAAAAAAAGCGATCAGCTTTTCTTAACTGCTCTAAAAAATAAAACAAATACTGTTTAAAATGTTTTAAAAAGACTAACTACCAAACTGAAACAGTTTTCTTAAAAAAGAAACATTGTACTAAAAAAACTATTTTACCAATCAATTTAGTTCTAACTTATTCTAAAAAATGAAAAATAAATACATATTTAGATACCTTAAAATGAAGCATAACACAACACCCTTTTGACAAATTCCAGAAGAACTTTTTTTTGTTTTTCTATTCTCAACTATTTTTGCTAAGAGAAAATACATATAGATATACATATATATATACATAACAAACTAACAATTATTTAAATTTTTTATTTTAAAAAATAAACAACATTAATTCTTCTTGAAAATAAGTGTATCAGCTCCAATTTGCTTGCTGATTTTACTCGAAAGACCGCGTGGAATAAATAACTGCGCTTAGAAAAGTCTAAAAACTAAGAAATAGTGTATTTTACATAATGCAGAACCGTAATTAACAAAACGAACAATAGGCGTAACAATGCGTAACTATGTGCACTAATAATATTCATTCGGCTATTAATATTTAGATAAGTCTATAATATACGGACTTAAGTCTATAATATTCGGACTATAGAAGTCTATAATAATATGGACTTATAATATATAAATTTATTAACTTTATTAAAATAGTATGTTGTTAACTATATAAAATTAATAATTTTCGAACTTTGTTAGGCAATGATACTCTGTATTATTATATACACCAATTTTCTGTAGTAGTATTTACTAGTCATTATGTTAGTGTTTGTACCATGGTTGGTACTTTTCATAATTATTTTTGAAAATTTTAAAAATTTATCAAAAAAATAATTATATAAGTGAAAATTTCATTTAAAAAAAAAAAAAAAAAAAAAAAAAGATAAATTAGCATGAAATAAAAGAAATAATAACTTTTAAAACTTTTAATTAGTTTCACTTCCAACATACCTGCAGGCAACCACTTTTTAAGTTAAAAGTTTATATATTGAATTTCATAAACAAGCAAGCAAACAGGTCACAGACAATGGTTGCCTTTTGTGCAAGTCAGAAAGAAATAAAGATAATAAAGGTAAAAGATAATCACTGATGTTTGAGAAAGAAAAAAAGATAATAAAGGTATAAAGATAAAAAAGGTAAAAGATAATCACTGATGTTTGAATTAAACTAGAGAAATAAAATTTTTCTGTTAAAGTTTTTTTTTTTTTTTGAAGCAGAACAATGTGATTGATGCTCAAACTTGGAGTAGGTCCAAATACTCCGTAAAAGCATTTTTGCACTTTGAAACTTTGTACCATACAAGAAAAGATAAGAAAAAAAAAAAGAATAGAGGAATCTTTAGCTGTGACATTTCTATAGATTAGAAATGTGGTTTCTACTAAAAAGTAAAAAAGTATAGATTTTTGTAGATACATCTACTAAGGATTTGGTTTTATGCAGGCAAAGAAATTTTGTTAAGCGAAAATAAGCAAAATATAATAATCAACAATATATAAAAAAGAAACTTTTTAAAAAAAAAAATGTTTCTCCTTTGAGTTGGATTAGCTTCTGTGATATCATTTTCTGGTTGCAATTATAAGCCTTTTAGAAGACTACTACTAATACTACTCTTATAACTTATCATCAAAACCATATAAGAAAAGTGTCTGGACTAACTGCACATTTTAAAACTAAATTGTACTAGTGTTTTTACTTCATTATCTGTGGTGCTAAACGACAAAATTGTTATTGTGGTTTTTACCGTGTTGTACAATAACTATTCTTCGTGTTTTCATATTGTTTTCATATTGCAAAAATTACGCTGGACACACTGCATAAAGTCAACTCACCTATATAAAGTACTTGTTTTATAATTTCATAAAAACTTTAATTTGATTGTTTTAATTTAATTATTAGTTACTTTTTTTCACTTAGTGATGGAACCAAGTAACTAGGTAGCTTTTATTTACTAGCAGCTATAATATTTTTTTTTTAGCTAGTTAATTAAAACATTATATTAATTAAAACCTAGAACATAGTTCTAGAACCTAGTAAGTAGGTAGCTTTTATTCACTAGCAGCTATAATATTTTCTTTCTAGCTAGTTAGTTAAAATATATTATTTAATTTGCTTGTTATAATATTTAAGAAATTTGCTTGTTATAATATTTAGGAAATGTAATTTATGAAAATTCAAACTTTATTTCATATTTTTAGACACTTTACTTTGTTTATGAATATTCTAAACAATTGCTATGACAAGCCAGATGACAATAAAGAGCGACGAATACTTGCACCACATTTTGTTAACTTGCGCGCATATACAGTACAAGCTATGTCTAACATGTTAAGCGCAAATATTGACAGTGGTCTTATGCACTCAATTAGTCTTGGTTACCATGAAGATCCTCAAACAAGAGCTACATTTCTTGAAGTTTTAACAGATATTCTTAAACAAGTAATCACGTTTGAATTATCATTTTTTTAATTAATGCTAAAAAAAAAGCTGGAGTTCATTTTATATTTTCCCTTTTTATTTTTTAAACTTTTAAAGTTAAAACAGGTAAATAATTGCCAAGCTGGTTTTTAAAGAAACAATAAATAATGTTTTTATTATGTTATTTTTAAATTAATTTTTTTTTTGTTGTATAAAAAAGATAATTATTTTAGATTTTACATTAAAATGACTTTTTTTTTTTGACTCAAAAGAAGTGTGTTATAACAAACTTTTTATTGATTATAGATTTTTTTAATTCTTTTAATAAACTAACAATCACTTAAATTTTTTTTTTTTGAGATCCAGGTTGACTTGTTTTTATAAAACTTTCTAATTAATCATTACATATAATATCATTATTAATTATACATATGATAAAATATTGGGGGCCTGATAAATATATTTAACAGATTTATATGTAAATTGATATTAGTGATATTAGTGATTATGATGAAGCATTTTTTCTAAATTTCCAATAAAATGCTACTGAATATTGTTAATTTAGCACAAAATTTTTTTTTTTTGTTAAAAATCTTAAAGACAGGGTATCTAAGCCTTCAAGTACTACCCTCTTGACTCTTAGTGGTTACTAACTGTATTTACAATAAGTCATATTTATAGTTATTTATATCTGTCTTCAGTTGGTGATTTTCAATCTAAATAAATCTGAACACACTCTGCACTTAAGGGCAAAAAAAAATTATTATTAGTTTTTTTTTGTTACTACTTTTTTTTATATTTAAAACATTTCGTTTTTAAAATTAATTTAACCTAATTTTCAAAGTAAGTAATCCATTATCAAATTTTCTGTAATTTTTACATTTTATTCAAATATTCTTATTTTTTCAAATAAGTTTTCATTTACTCAATTCATTAAGTACTGTTCACTATATAAAAAAAGTTTGCAAACTGTCTGGCTGGAATTCTAAGTTTGATATATACAAGTAACAAGTTGTTTTTGTTTATCAATTTTATGTGTTTTTATGACCTTTATAATATGCTATAATATTTGCAAAAAATTGCCAAGTGCACACCCATTATAAGTATATGATGAAGTATTGCCTGTCCCATAAATGAACACTTTAAACAATTTTAACACAACTAAATTATAAAGAACAAGTAAACTTAAGAATAACAAAAGTAAATGTTCTTTATATTAGTATTCTAAAAAAAAATGCTCACAATCAAATTTTTTTTAAAAGTTTTTTAAGTTTTTTGATCATTTTAAAAATTTGACACTCTCCATAAAGTTAAATTTTGACGCTCTTCATAAAGTTGTACAGCTGACTAACATAGGTAGTACTTAACATATATAAAACAAAGTAATGATAACACTCAAGAACAAAAAGTTCACCTATGAACAAAAAAAAAAAAAAAATTTATTTAAAAATATAAATTTTAAATCTAGCAAGTTTTAAGCCAACACATTAAACTACACATTTACAAATTGTGACCTAATAAAACCTGAAAGACTTGAAAAACATATATTTCCAATTTTTTTTTTTTTTACACATTCAATTACACATTTACAAATTGTGACCTAATAAAACCTGAAAGACTTGAAAAACATATTTTTCCAATTTTTTTTATCTGAGATGAATGAAATTTCATTATATGCTTTTAGTTTAAAACCATATAGTATAAAAGCATATAGTAGATCGTTAATGTCATATTTTAGTTGTTAACTGGAAAATCATACGTAAAACATGAAAAAACCAAATGATGATTACTATAATTTACCAACCATGTGTCAGTGCCGTAACTGTGCATTAGATAACTGCACTGTGTATTTCTTTATCTATAAAAACTGATATTTCATATGTTAAGAAATATATCTGAGTAGTATAAAAAGTATATTTATAAAAAGAATTTTAAAAGAAAAAAAAATATATATATATATATATATATATATAAATATATATATATATATATATATATATATATATATATATATATATATATATATATATATATATATATATATATATATATATATATATATATATATATTAGGGTGAGTCATAAAAATTTTTTTTTGTTGTTGCAGGCTCTAAACATTGCTAGAAAGTTGTTTTTTTATGTACTAATTTAGGAAAGTATTTACTTTTATGGATTGAACAATGTCTTCCACCCGCAACTATAATTACAAAAATTAGCAGGCCCTATTATTATTCAAAAAAAAAGTTTTTCAAAATTATGTGATGTAGGTACTCAAATAAAGCGAAATTTTATAAAAATTTTAAAAATAATAATTTTTTCATATAAAAATAATTATTTTAGATTTTATTGCATAATAACTATAGTTTTTTAACAAAAAGTGAAAAAGGTGCATTTTTACATGTTTTTTGATAACAATTTTTTTTAGCAATATGGTTTTTATAAAAAGATTATTATTTTCAAATTTTTTTATAAAATTTCGCTTCTTTTGAGTACCAGGTTGACCTACTTTTGAAAAACGTTTTTTTCTCCAAAATATTAGAGTACCGGTAATTTTCCCAATAAAGTTGCGCCCTTTAAATCTATCACAATCATTCTCATATTTGATAGTATCAATATTAATAACTATTAGCAATGTTTAGAGCCTGTAACAAGAAAAAAAATTTTTTGACCTGCCCTAATATATATATATATATATATATATATATATATATATATATATATATATATATATATATATATATATATATATATATATATATATATATATATATATATATATATATATATATATATATATATATATATATATATATATATATATATGTATATATATATATATATATATATATATATATATATATATATATATATATATATATATATATATATATATATAGAGATGTGACGCGTTTTTTTGGTTCTTGTTTTTTTGGTTTTTTTGGTCGTTTTTTTGGAAAAAAAACATAGGGGTCCGTTTTTTTTGGTTTTTTTTGGGAAATAATCAAAAATTCATTGTTTAAGTTACTAAATTTAACTTTAATGGCAATATTTTAATTTCTGATTTAAATAGGACAATAAATACTGAAATTTACTGAATTAATTTTTGTTTTGGTATATTAACACGGTTAAAGGTGTCTTGTATAAAAACTTCTTTGATAATTTTATCTTCCTCAACTTTATCTTTACTGTTTTTAGTGTATATTGACACAATAAACATTTATTTACATTTATTATATTTAATAAAATTTAACAACTAATGAATGAGACTTAGCATAATAAAGAGTCGAGAATGAGTTTTTGTTAATGGAACTAGAGGTAATAACTATTTTGAGCAGCCGCCATGATAGAATTTGTAGAAAAGAGAAAGAGATGCAACTTTACGACAATGGGAAAAAGGCTCAAGCTTAGCAGATAGAGCTTGTTTAGAAGAAAAAGGGCATCATAAGAAGAACCAGCCCAAATATGACAACAACATTCTATACAGGGACAAAAAGATATTTTTAGAGGTAGAGAATGGAATCAAGGGTAAGAAAACGACGATAATGATAAAGGGATGCTAATTTAGCAATCAATTGTATATTTTGTGTACATGAAACGTTAGTAGCAAATAATATTCCAAGAAGATGTAAAAAAGAAGACTCAGTAAGAGGGTTACCATTAATTAATATAGGAATGTCAACAGTATTGTGGTAGTTGTTTGCAGTAAATAACTGAGTTTAGTTAGAAATAAAATTTATAAGCTAAAATATGTGAGCCCCAATCTGTTACAGAAGTAAGATCAGATACAAAATTGGCTGCCTATTCTAAGTGATCAAAAAGAGAAGACTTTTTGTCAAGACAGGAGCAAAAACTTGAGTCATCAGCAAAAAGAGCTACTATAGATGTAGGGTTGTCAGGAAGATCAATAATGTAGATAAGAAACAAAACAGGACCAAGAATAGAACCTTGAGATTAACCCCAGAAGTTACTAGAAATAAATAAGTAGGCATTTGACGATGATTATAATAAAGCAGTTAGAAAGAAATGATTTAATAATCCCAGATACACAATTTGAAATTTCAAGTCTAATTTAAGTTTAATTGTTTAATATTTAGTTCATACTTAAGCTCAATTTCTATTCAACAGGTCCCTAATATTGTTTAAATGGTCTCTAAAATGTTTACATTAAAAAAGTCAACTTATTACTCAAATAAAGAGAAATTTTATATAAATCTTTTCTGAATTAGAATCTAAAAATAGATTAACACAAAAAATACTGACAAAAAATAGATTAATACAAAAAATACTTTAACACTGAGTAGTGATTTTTAAAGCACCATAATATCTATATATACATACATATATATATATATATATATATATATATATATATATATATATATATATATATATATATATATATATATATATATATATATATATATATATATATATATATATATATATATATATATATATATATATATATATATATATATATATATATATATATATATATAAAGAGATCTTTAAATTATTAAGTAAATTTTTTTTTCTTGTTGGTAATCAACAGGAAGAACAAAAAGAATTATGATTAGGCTCTCCATACAGGGGGCAGAAATAAAGCCTTAGTCACCCATTAAACCTCTGAACCAAATTAGTAAAATGGAAAAAGATAAACAATTCTTTTGCCTTAAGATTATGTCTAAAAATTGAATTGAAAAACAGAGCATATTAAAGAATTTTGCAAGTGTTCTGATATAGTGCTATATGAAAATATTTAGATGAATAAATGTAATTAGAAAAAAAAAATGCTGTCAAAAAATTAATTACAAATAAATAAATTACGAATCATCAGGTGAATGGGGTCTGGGAAACTCTCTAAATAATAATAATTAAAAAGTTTTTAAATTTTCCTTGAAACTAAGTTCAGTATAGGGCTTTTTTTTAATGGGCATACTAGCAATAATTCTTTTTTTGATATAACAAACAAACAATGTAAGACTTAATTACTACATAATATACAAATGCTTAATTAAGTTAATAATCTTGATAGATAGCTTATTTTTTTGAGCATTCGAAGTCTGATATCAAATTTGATAATGTAAATACATTAATGTATTTACATTATCAAGACTAAAATGGTAACTTTTTTATAGAATAAGAATAGTTTTTATATATAATGAGAGTATCACAGTTGTTAGTACAACAAAACAGAAAATAAACATTTTCATACAGTATACCTAAATATATAACTAACTTAAAGCTAATTTAAATTTTTTATAAAATTTTTTTGTTAAACTGGTGTTTATACATCTAATTGTGCCTTTAATGGCCAAATACTAAAATCTATACTAGATTAAAGGAAAACTAGTCCAAAATTTATGTAAAAAAAAACTGAAAAATTGTTTAAAAAAAGCAATACAACACCAAAAAAACCAAAAAAACACCAAAAAAACCAAAAAAACGCCAAAAAAAACCAAAAAAACACGTTTTTTTGACCCAAAAAAACGCCAAAGGAAAAAAACGCGTTTTTTTGCAACTCTATATATATATATATATATATATATATATATATATATATATATATATATATATATATATATATATATATATATATATATATATATATGTATATATATATATATATATATATATATAGCCCTTTGAATTAGGGTCAGCATTTGGCAATGTACCAGTATTAAAGAATGTTATATTTTCTTTTTTTAGAATTTTATATTTAATTGGACTAATGCCCTCCTATATTCTCCTAATAACCTAATTAAGATAAAATGTTAATTTTTATCTTAATGATTTTTATGGTAAACTCCTACATAAAAAGCTTTTACATATTCTGAATCTTATTGATCTTTTTTTTTAAGCAATGAGATTTTTTTTTTTTTTACATTTATGTAGGCCTTTTATCGAATTTTTTTTTTTTTTTTAATGAAAATGATGTTTTAATTAATAATTTGGATCAACGACTGTATAAAGTTCATAACTAGAACAAGTAAGCCTAGTCACTAGTGGAACATATTTAGCTGTAAACAACTAAGCAAAAAATGATTGATTATATTAGATAAAGTATTAGTGTAACAGTTATACTATTTTGAACAGATGTTTAGTGTTATAGCAAATAAATAAGAGAAGAAAGTGAGATTAGTATATCCGTTTTTTTAAAGAAATATACTGATCTGATATACTATTAAGCAAGCAACTGATATACTATAAACCAAGCAAAAAATTTTTGCTTGCTCTATATTTATTTTGTTTTAGAAGCCAGCCAAAATCATGACACAATTATACATATTTTGTGATTATTAGAGTTCACAGCCAGAGGAAAAATCAAGGCAGTATGATGCATTTTCTTGTTTTATATTTAGTTTATATGGTTTAGTAGAGTTGTTAGTTTTATGTGCATTTAGTTTATATAGTTTAATGCAATTCTTTGTTTTATATTTTATTATAACTAACTTTTGTATATTTTAGTGCAAATATTCATTTTAATTTTAATTTAGTGTGATTTATTTATATCATTAATAAAATAATTTGTTTTATATTTAGTTTCTACTTAGTTCAGTTTATATAGTTTATTAACTTGTTTTATATTCACTTAATAATTACTCACTAAATATTTACTCGTATTATATTACTTAAATTAATTTACTTTGAGTATAAATATATTGTCTTATTAAAATAATGAAATAAAATATAAAATGTTTTATTGCGCTTCTTTAGTTAATTCTTTTTGCTTGTGCTTTTAAATTGAATTAAATTTTAAAAATTTATCCGTGATATCTCTAAGCTATAAAGATATAGTGACAATTATATTGAAATCTTTTTTTAAATAAACCTTGAACCAAAGAGTTCTATTCTTTACAATTGTTTTTCAACTGTTTAGACCAAAATTTTAATTATTACTATCATTTCCGTTTAATTTACTATCATGAATTTGTAATTGATTTTATATTCTTTTCGGAAATTAGGAGAAGATAAATGTTATGTTGATGTGATATGTAAGTTAAAATTTGAGATAATGTAATTTTTAATTTCTAAGCGACTTAGTACAAATAATAGTAAAAAATAGTACAAATAGATTTTTTAAGATTCTGGTATATATATTTCTTAAATATATACTTCTCAAATATATTCTTATATAATATAGGCGTGTATAAAAAAAGCGTTATATGAATTAAAAAAAAAAACAAATCTTTTTTACATTTATTTATGAATAAAACCAATAGAAGGGTATTAAATGCAGTATTATTTTGTATATAAAGTTTATTGTTGTAAAATATATTTAAATGTATTAAAAGTTTATTGTTGTAAAATATATTTAAATGTATATAAAGTTTATTGTTGTAGAATATATTTAAATGTATATAAAGTTTATTGTTGTAAAATATATTTAAATGTATATAAAGTTTATTGTTGTAAAATATATTTAAATGTATATAAAGTTTATTGTTGTAAAATATATTTAAATGTATATAAAGTTTATTGTTGTAAAATATATTTAAATGTATTAAATATAGTACAAGTATAAAAACGAAAATAAAATATGAAGAAATCATATAGTATTATTTTTATCATACAAAAGAAATATAATATAAATTATTTATAAATATTCATTTTAAATAAATTAGCCCAAAATATCTTCAATTTCAAAATCGAACGCAGTTTCTTCGCTTCCACTTGTATCACTTTTCACAATGTTAGCATATAAAAATATATATATATATATATATATATATATATATATATATATATATATATATATATATATATATATATATATATATATATATATAGGTTGGAAAGCTATTTATTTAGATTAGGTCTGTATCAGGAAGCTATATATGAAGGTTCCACAGGAAGTGATATAGCAACAAAGCATAGTTACTGTTTTAGTCATCTTAGACTTGTTATACTACTCAGATGTTTCTGGAATAATACTAACAGCTTTTATAGATAAAGAACTACATCATTGTTTTTAACCATATGACATTCCTTACATATGTTATGTTTCCTTACTATCACAAGAAAACTAATTCTTAAGTTTAAAATATATCAGCCATTCTAGCAACATATCCAATGCTTCTTTTCAGGAAAGATATTATTAGACCCTGCTAATAAAGAATCAGTGTTGTGATTTTAAGTCTATAAATGATTATACTGATAACAATAGTAATTAAAATTATACAAAATAAGTTAAACTTTATCATTAATAATTTTTGTTTTAAACATTATGGATTGTTTAGTTAATTATTTTTGATAAAAATTTAGACTGCAGCCTCATCATTATACTATCAAAAGGTTTTAAAAATAGTTTAAAAAGTAATCAAAGAAATTTTATTTTGATGGGTACTCAGTGTTTCAAGTAGAATTTTAATTATTTGATGGAAAATGCTTTTTTTAATATACTTAATTGTTTATTTTATTTAGAATGAGTAAATAATGTCCATTTGATATGAAAATGGTTAAGTTAAAAACGACTTTGTAATAACCTATGATTAAAATAATTTTTAAAAAGGATTACAAAATAATTTTTTTAATATTTTTTATATTAAATTATACAAAATTGTACCAAAAAAGCAAATAAATAAGGAAAAATTAAATTTATTTTAAACAATGTAACATGATTACAGTTTTAATGTTTAGGGCACAGAATTTGAAAATCTTGCAGAAACTGTTTTAGAAGATCGCTTTGAACGAATTATTCAACTGGTTACAAATAATGGAAACAGTGATGACATTCCCATTGTTATGGCACTTTGTAATTCTGTAACTATTGATGACATGGTATAAAATTCTTTATATTTTATAGGTACCATATTACAAACTACATATGATAGTATGTATCTATGTATGAATAAGAACTTATATCAGTTTGAAATAATTCTTGTTATAAGAAATATTAGGGTTACAAAAAAAAAATTTTTTTTTTGATTTTATTAAAAAGAATTTAGGTCAGATTTTATATGCATTTTAGCAAATTTAAATTATATATGATTTATTTTTTATCTTTATTTTTGAGTGCAAATTATAAGTGCAAGTTATATGATTTATTATTTTATATTCTTTTTTAATCAATGTTTATTTATGAAGTCTAAATTTTAACTTTTAATTATTTTAAGTAAATTATTTTCAAAAATGGAAACCACATCAGTCCTATCATTAGACAACAAAACCACTTATCAAAATAAAAACCAATAATAGAATAACAATGTCTTCTAAAAGAATAATATAATTACATATATACATATATTTGTATCTGGATAATATTGTGGTTAGAGCGTCAAACAAAAAGTTAAAACCTGGACTGTTGTATGATACGATTTCAAATCCTGCCACCGCCAACTCAGCGCTTGAGTTATACTTTGCTATGCAAAAATGTTGGTTAATAATGGACGCTACTTTAGATTAGTCTTAACGATTATTTGTGGCTGTTCCTATGCTAAGCCAGCAATATCTTTGGATCTGAATCCAGCAATATCTTTGGATATAAGAACTTTGTATAGAAAAATATAGCATGAAAACTCAAATAAAAAAATAAAAATATATACATGTATATGTAAACATAGAAAACCATCCCCACCACCCAACTGTTTTAATATATTTTTTACAAGTATTTGTGGTCTTCAAAGTAAACAAAAATCAGTTGAATCTCACCTTTTTGCGAAATTCACCAGACTTGCTTGCTTTTTTGGAGACTAATTTTATACCAGTTGTTACTATTTCAGATCTCAGTATTAATAAGTACTATCCTTTGATTGGCAAAAACTCATATACTCACATGCTTAATTTGGGGGTATACTTACATATCAGTTCACCTATTTATTGAGGAGAGAGATTTGAATCCTTTAACCATTCTTTCATTTGCTTCTGCTTAGGACCTCATCACCTTTCTCTTTGTTCTTTATCATTCTCATTCTTCTCAAGACTGCACTCTTTAAGATGTAATTTCTGATCAAATGCACTTTCTATTTACCCCTCTGCCAATTTTGTTGTTTTAGATGACTTTAATGCTCATAACTTTGAATAATTTTGCTTTAATACCACTGACCTTGATGGCACAAACTTCTGCATTTCACAATTTTTTACTCAGATAGTTAACTTTGTGACTCATATTCTAGACAACCCTGAACACTTGATTCCTTGATTTGTGTCTTGTCTCTGACCTTAGCTTATGTTCTGTTTCACTTTTTTCATCCCATTTGTTCTGACCATTCAATGATCTTTATTAATCTTTTATCTCATACTTCTTTTTTAAATTCACTCTGTCATCACACTACTTGCTACTACCCTAAAGCTGACTGAAATTCTTTTCATGATTTTCTTTGTGACGGACCTTGGGCTGATGTCTTTTCACTCTCTGCTGATAATTGCGCTTCCTACGTAACCTCATGGATTTGGCAGGGATGAAAGCTTTTCTTCCTTCTTGTTGGTTCTAAGTCAAGTCTCATTCCACTTCATGGTTTCTACTTCCACTGTTTCACCTTGTTGTGCAGCTGCTGTATTTAATTGTATTCATTATTTTAATCTTTTTCAAAAAAATAACTCTCTTAAAAACAAATGCCTATTTATTATTGCAAGAAATCTATGTAAAAAAGTGCTGTCTGAATCTATCTTATCTCAGAAGTTAGGCTCTAAAGACTTTTGGAAAATCTTTAACAGTGTAATTAATATAGGTAGGTTTAACATTCCATCTCTCATTCATCACTCTCAAATTACTCTAGCCATCACATTAGACATCACTCTCAAATTACTTTAGCCTCTGTTGCTAAAGTTATATCTCAATTAAACTCTTCTACGGCTTGTGGTCCAGATAACATTCTTGTCATAGGCTTAAATAGGTGTTCTTCAGAACTCTAATTTAATTCTCTCTATAATAATTAATAAATGCTTGACTGAATCTTGTTTTCCTGCCTGCTGGAAAATGGTACCTGTCATTCCAATTTTCAAAAACTGTAGAGAACATTTTCACCTCTCTAACTATTATCCAATCATTCTTCTATCTGTTGCTTGGAAGATCTTTGAGTTTTTGATCAACAAATTTCTCACATCTCATCTTGGGTAAAATAACTTACTGTCAGACAATCAATACGTTTTTCTATCCTCTCGCTCTACGGCTGGCTTGCTAACTGCTATAACTGAAAGAATTTATCTTGCATTAGATGGATACAAAGAGGTTTTTGGCATATCTAAAGCTTTCAATAAAGTTTGGCATGCTGGTTTTCTTGCTTTATATGGTGTATCTGGCAAATATTTTAAGATTATCAAATCTTTTTTTTTTTTTCACCATTAAATTTCATCCTTGAAGGCCAACACTCTTCTTCATTTAACTATTTAACTCTTCTAAATTTAACTGTAATTTCTAGGGTACCCCAAGGTTCTATCCTTGCTCCTGTTTTGTTTCTTATTCAAAGTGGGTCTATTTGCTGATGACTCAACTTTAGACTCCTGTCTTCACTTTAAAATTTTTCACTTTTCCATTGCTTAGAGCAGACAGCCAACCTTGAATCTGATTTCACTTCTGTAACAGATTGAGATTGGGGCTTGCAGTGGCTTCTGTAACAGATTGGGGCTTGCAGTGGCTTGTGAATTTTAACTCTAACAAAACTTTTAACAAAAATTTTACTGCAAACAACTATTGCAATACTTTCATATTTTAGCCAATGGTAACACTCTCACTGATGTCTTCTTGGGTTATCGTTCATTACAGACCTCTCATGGAAAACATATATACAATCGATTGCTAAATAAATCTGTTAAAGTTGCTTTCTTTATTGTGCTTGCCATTTACTTACTCCTGATTCTATTCTCTACCACTGCAAATCTCTGATTTTTTCCTTTAGGGAAAAATCAGAAATTTTGCAGAGAGTTGTCATATTAAGGCTGATTTTTCAAATGAAGCTCTTTCTCTTCTAGACAAGGTCAAAAAATGCATTTTAAATGTAGTAAATACTATCATGGTTGTTGTGCAAAGGAACTATTATCTTTAGCTCCATTGATCAAAACTCATTTTCTCTTGACTCGTCATTCAGCTAACTCTCATTCTTTTACTGTATCTGTCCCTGCATTGTCTAAAAACTTTCATTAGTCTAGTTTCTTTCATATCTGTGTGTTTGTGTGTGTGTGTTTTAAGGACTTATATTATTATATGACTTTAGTTTTACATGGTTTAAGTAAAAACTACTTATTACTGTATTTTTTTATTTTAAGGATGATGTAGCAAAAGTACTGGTCAATTTGTTTAACATGAAGGGTATATTGCACGTACTCCTAATGAACCTTTTTAAAGATGAGGTAACAATTTGTACAAAGTTATTGCTTAAACATAAGTTAGAAGTTTTTTTATTAACTTTAAGTAAGTTACTAATTTAAGTCTATATACAAGTAGTTTTTGGGTTGTTTTTTTTTTTAGGTTGAAAAAACTGAGACTCAACAAACCTTGTTTCGTGGCAACACTATTGCTAGTAAAGTTATGTCATATTCTTTTAAAATATATGGTGGTAACTTCCTTCAACTCTTATTAGGGCCACTTATTACAGAAATGATCAAACACAGTGATGGAAAATCTTATGAAGTTGATAGTGCAAGGTATCAGACAAAAAACTAGTTTAATTTGAAAGTATAAACTTTTTTATTAGATTCGGTTTGATTTTGTTGAGCTGAAAAGAGCACAACAGCTTTTAACTCCCTACTGTTGTGTTCATATTTTTTAAAAATTAGAAAAAAAAAAAAAACATTATTTAAACAAAATTTTTTTAAAAACTAAATGGTTAAGATTAAAGCTAAACTTGTCATTTTAGTTAAAGCTTGCATTCAAATATTATTCAAATATTATTCTTATTTAAACAATATTATTTTATTTTATCATTTATTGCTACAAAGTTTTTTTCCTCCTATTAAAATAAAGTTTTAATTAATAATTAGGTTAGATCAATAGCATTATTTAATAGAGATATTAGACAAGCTGCAATGACATCATATTCTGAAACTCATGCAAATTAAACATGCTTGAAATAAGTTATCAAGTCTGTAAATTGTGGCAAAAAAGACTTTGATATACAGAATAAAATGGAGAAGGCAAGCTTTGAATAAAACAACAAGTTTTTATTGATATATCTCTATTATTTAGTTTTAGTCTAAAAAATTTATCTCAATTTTGATTTTTTGTTGAAAATAAAGCAATTAACTTTCAAACAGAAACTTTAAAAAAAAGATTTGACATTATAATCTATACAAATTAAACAATAAAAGTACTTGTTGCTGTATTTTGTTTTTTTGATGCTTTATTTTATACATTTTTTTTTGTTGCTGTTGAAGCAGGAGGGGGTATTGTGTTGTACTTAATACTTATTTTAAGTTATAAACTATTTATTAGTTTTAAATGCTATAAAATTGGCATTTAATTTTTTTTATCTTCTTTCTAAATAAATTTTGTAGATTAGAAAATAATGAAAACATTGGTGATAACACTCAGTCTGTTATTGAATTAGCAAATGGTTTTATGGATAAAGTCAAAGAGCTGAAGAATGAGTAAGATACCTCTTTATGCTATTATCTCCTGTATGCAATTACCTCCTATTTTTTATTGAATTACAAAAAAAAAAGTTTATAATTATAAGAAAAATATATAAACTTTATAAAATATATAGAATAATTGTATATTATAAACATGTAAATGAAAAGTATTGGATTCTTTTAAGGTTTCGTTATCATAAAACCTCAACAGAGTCCTTTATGTTAAGGTCTTCCATGGAGGTGTGTGTGTACTTTTTTTCCGACTAGAAACACCTTTAAAAAAAAAAAAGGTCCAAAAAAAATTTGCAATTTGCCAACTATAGTTCAAAACTTGCTCAATGTGCCAATTCAAATTCTTATATGACAGCTTTGGGGTGTGTGACACCCCTTGACATCCCCCGTTGGGACAGCCCTTATGGCAAACTTGTATTTTTTTAATGTTATTATTAAAGTTATCTTGTTATAGCTTACATAAATTTATATAAACCTTAAAAAAACTAAATTTGAAAAAGAATTGTTTAGTGGAAAATAATTCATTAAAAAAACTCAAGAGTTCTAATCAGTGTTAATATTCTTAAAATTGAGAAAAACATATATATATATATATATATATATATATATATATATATATATATATATATATATATATATATATATATATATATATATATATATATATATATATATATATATATATACACACACACATATATATATATACACACATATATATATATATATATATATATATATATATACACACACATACACATATATATACAACCCTCAGAATTGGGGTTGGCATTCGGCAATGCCAACCTAACTGCTGACCATAAAATGTTTTAGTTTCTATGTTTTATGGTAAGACCTTTGTCAAGGTTCTAAAAGATTGAGGTCAGCAAATTATTGCCGACCTCGTTTTTCTAAATTCCGAGGGTATATATATATATATATATATATATATATATATTTATATATATATATATATATATATATATATATATATATATATATATATATATATATATATATATATATATATATATATATATATATATATATATATATATTTACTATATTCACTTAAAAAAAAAAAAAAAAAATAATAAAAAAAAAAATTTTTTTGCAATTGTTTTTTCTTGCTAAAGCGTTTGATTTGTATATAGATCCTATAAAGTCCTATATAAATGACTTTTACTTAAACCTGCATGTTTTAATGACTTTTGCACTATCTTAGGTGTTTTAGTATTGATGACTTTTGCATAACATTGGATGTTTTGACAGGGCTCCCACTCCTCCTTAAAAACTATTAAATCCTTAAAAAATAAAAACCTTTTTAAATGCCCTTAAATAACCTTAAAAAATGTTAAAATTTGACTGCTCTCATTAATTTCTCCTTATTTTTTTTTAATCGCCTAGGAACTTTTATTAAAGGGAATAGATTATACTTATTAATAAAGAAGAAAATTCTTTGATAGTTTGCAAACCTATATTTTTATTTTTATATATATATATATATATATATATATATATATATATATATATATATATATATATATATATATATATATATATATATATATATATATATATATATATATTCTTTATAAATGACTTTAAAGATTGATGTTCTTTTTATTTGAAATTTTCAAAATTTTTTTCCATCTTAAAAATACATTTATCTTGTTTAAAATTTAAAAATATAAAATAAATAAATAACTAATAAATTTAAAATTCATGAATTATTTTATATAAAGGTATATATATCATCTCATCGTCATTGTCATCATCATCATCATCATCATCATCATCATCATCATCATCATCATCATCGTTATCATTATCATCATCATCTACATCATCATCATCATCATCATCATCATCATCATCATCATCATCATCATCAAGCATACAGTTGATGATGATGATTAAGATGATTCTGATGATGATAAGCTTTTTTTCCTATCTTATAAAGACACCATATATCCATCTGATCTACTTTGTTCTTTCCAGATGAAAGAACAAACAAGCCAGCAACCTGGATATTCTAGAAAAGTCAGTGGCCATCATGTAATAAATTGATTATTTGAAATTTTTAAACAAAGTTAATAATTTGAAGAAATATTTAAAAAATGCTAACAATCAGGGTGTTTAAAGTATCCTAAAATAAATTTCATAAGATAAATTTATTGTAAAATTGCATTTACATTTATAATGTAAGTAACTTTTTAGTTGTAATTTTAATCATTAGAATTACATAGTTGAGCTATTCAAGTATTTAAATGTAAAGAAATTGATAAATACTAGAAAATAGTTGAATTTATTTTTGTTAGCCCCGGCTAGTAACCCCTGCAAATTGTGTTTGTTTAGCCGGGGCCGGGTTTGCAAAAACCTCTGTTTTTAGCCGGTGCCAGGGACCCGGTCACTTACTATATATATATATATATATGTATATATATATATATATATATATATATATATATATATATATATATATATATATATATATATATATATATATATATATAAATTAGTAGAAAATCACTCAACAAAAATTTTTTCTCAATTTACACTGTGTTTCATCATCAGGAAATCACAGTGTAAATTGAGAAAAAAATTTTGTTGAGTGATTTTCTATTAATTTATAATTGCTCTGTTCTTTTAAGAACATTGAGTACTCTATTTTGAAGAATATATTTTAAAATTGTTTATATATATATATATATATATATATATATATATATATATATATATATATATATATATAAATATAGTATTAAGTTTTTTTTCTTCACAACTTGACTATGGCTGTTTTGATATTTTAACAATAAAAACTGTTACGTTATGAATATCTTTTAATCATTGATCTTTTCTAAAGATCAATGATTAAAAGATATTCATAACGTAACAGTTTTTGATTAAAAGATATTCATAACGTAACAGTTTTTGTAACGTTTTATTTTACGCAAAAGGCTTTAAAATAAAATCATATAATTATCTTTAATGATTGTTTACATAAATGCGTGTGTAAATTAATAAAAAATGTTTTTAAAAATTATTTTTTGTGTAGGCATGATAAATTTAAACTTTTGAAACTATTTTCTCATGTCTTCCTGAAAATCTTTTAAAGCATTAATTTTAGAAAGATTTTTTTTAAGTTACTTTAATGTATGAATAAGTTTAAAACCTTTTGCGACTACTAGCTTTTACACATTTTATGTGAATTATACAAGAATATAAAATAATTTTATTTACTTATATAAGCATGTATTTTGTTGATTAATGGAAAAGTTTTGAAGCATTTTGTAATATTCATACAAATAATTTTTGTAACTTATGATTTTTTTAAATCAACATTTTTTTAAACAAAATTTTTTTTTTTTTGACAATTCAAAAAACAATTCTCCAACCCCCACCCCCTAATTATGATAGGAATGAATTAGTTTCATTCATTCCTTTCGTAATTGGGAGAAAAAAAATCATTTATAATAATTTTAAAATTCGTTAAGTGAAGCGCTTAATATTAAAGTTACAATGCTCACATTAAAATTAAATAAAATTGCTTGTTGGCAGTTTATTTAATTTAAATCGCAGGCACATTTTATTCATTTTTTTCCTATTTTTACGAATAAAAGAGTTAAAAACCTTTTTTTAACTAGACTTATTAATTAGAACATGAAATTAAAAATTACTATTAAATATTAGGAAAATATCTTCTTAAATCTCCTTAAAATCCTTACCTTTAGCCTCAGTTTTAATAGTGGGAACACTGCTTGATATTGATGACTTTTAGCATAACCTTAAGTCTTTTGGTATTGAGGACTTTTACATAAACTTAAGTGTTTTGGTGTGAATAAACTTAAAATGTATGGTATTGATGTAAATTGTTAAGTTGGATTGCTTTTTTTTATTTTCAAATTCATAGAGTTAAATTGTATTTGGTTAAATTTTTGGTTTTGTTTATTATATACAGCCCTCAAAATTAGGAAAATAAGGTTGGCAATAAATTACTGACTTTTTTTTGCCAAACACTGTTAGAGTTCGGTAAAAAAAATGTTGACACAAAGGAGTTACCATAAAAAATGTTGACACAAAGGAGTTACCATAAAACATAGAAATGAGGTCAGCAATTTTTTGTAGAGCTCAAACACTTTTAGGTTGGAAGTTAAGTTGGCATTCCAAATGTCGTCATTATGACTGAGCTTTGTAAATATAAGTAATCTTTCTAATCAGTATTGGTTCTTACAAATATTAAAACTATATATAAATTGTATTTGCATATCTATATGTTAAATAATATATAGTATTGAATATTTATTAGTCAAAATCTATTCCACACATTTGCTTTATGAATGTATGTTTTTTGAAACTGCTATTTCTAAAAGAGATCTTTAATTGAAGTAGTCTAAATACAGTCTAAAACATCATTTTTGATAATTTCAAAAATAGTTTTGTCAATAGAGATGCAGATATTTGCAAGTTCATAAAAACTTTACAAGAACTTTTTAGAAATTTCTCCCATCTTCATGTATTCCTAACTCATACAACTTATAGGTTTTTAAGTCTTCTGTGAGTTTCCTTGCTCTATAACTATAAAAAGTTGCTCGCAGCCTTGTTGGGAGTGAATTATAATTTGGAAGAAAAAAAAAATGGATATTTTGATAACTAATTATTTCAATAACTGATGATGAAACTTACAAAACTTTTTGTTTACAACTTTTATTTAATCTGGTCCATAAATTATAAATTTCATTTAACCGATATTTAATCAAGTTTATAACTGTATTACTATATTATATTTTAAAATATTAATGTTTCAAAGTATGGTTTTGATATGATATTTTGATATGAGTTGGTTTACTTTTGATTCTGAGTTAGTTTACTTTTTTACTTTGGTTTCAGCCTAATAAAAATTAAAAAAGTAGCATAATATATTCACAAATTAATAATTGCACTATATTCATTTAGGTTCCCAATGCAGTTGAAAAGTTTATGTTATTGTCTGAACAAGGTACTTTATTTGCATAAAGTCTGATATTTTCTCTCACCTCTACTTGATATGAAGAAGTATGGTTTTTGATCTTTTTGCTGTTTTTTTTTATTTAGGCTGTGCAAACAAGATTTCCATCATCAGCTTATGATGCAGTAGCTAGTGCTGTATTTCTTCGTTTCATCAATCCTGCTATTGGTTAGTAGTTTGATTTATTGCTGTTGGTTAGAAGATTTATTATTAATAGTATTTTTTGCTTTATTTGTCTTCTCCGTTTGAAATTTAATAACAACGCACAAAAAGTGCTTTTATTTTTAAGTTTGCCTGCGCAGTTTAAAAAATTCATTTTGTCTGCTATTTAAAATATAATAAAAATAGCGTTAAAAATGCTTTAAATAAATACTAGATAAATTAATTAAAAAAAAAATTGGTAAAAAAAAAAGCCATTTTTCATAAAAGTTGATCAAATGAACAAAATAGTTTAGTTGCAATTTAAAACAAAACGTTTTTATTTTTTTGGTAAACGCTTTTTTTTGCGCTAGTCAATGTTTTTGCTGGCATATGGGCGAGCACGAAAGCGCTGGCTAAATAGAGAAGACTGCTAATAGTATTTTTTGCTTTGTTTATTGCTATTGGTTAAAACTTCAAAAATTTATTTCAAAAATTTAAAAGCAAATAATTTCAAAACAAGTATTTTTTATATATTTTTTCAATAGTTTCTCCTGATACTCATGGTATTATTAGTGAAGTTGTACCTAAATCAGTTAGACGAGGTTTAATGCTTTTATCAAAGGTGCTAATAATTTAATTACCTGTTCATTCTTAATCTAATATACCATAAACTGTAACAATGAAATATTCAATTATTTTATAGATTCTTCAAAACCTTGCGAATCATTTGTATTTTTCTAAAGAAGCACACATGGAGGTCTTCAATGGATTTTTGGAAAATAGTTTTTACAGAATGCAAAGGTATGATTTATGCTTTGCTTTAAAGATCATATTGAACATTTTGGTTTGTGTCTAAATGAAAAAGTAAAAAATTATTTAAAAAAAAAAAAAATTATTTTAACATGGTAGCCACTATTTAATTTGGGAGTTGATAAGAAATTGAGAAAAAAAACTCAAAGGTCAAGAAAGTAAAAGTAGCAGAAGATTTAAAAAACAATGAGTTTTCACTTTTAAATTATCAAATTATGAACAATTTAAAAAAATAATAAGTTGTATTACATAAAATAGTTGATATATAATGATACAATAAATTATATAATAATATAATATATAATATTGTAATATGTTTTCTGCCTTAGTTAAGTAAAGGCTAGAGAAAGTGTCTCAATAAAAGTACTTATCTTGGACAGTTATTAACAGCATGCAGTTACTAATCAGTCTTGCACTTCTTCATCATCTGATAAACTGCTATGGAAGTAAACTTGTCTCATTTTTTCCTGTCTATGATGATAAACAACTGATCTTTTTTCTCCATTTATGGGTTTTTGCTTGTGCTTTTCCTAAAACTCAATTATAAAAGAGCACTTCCAAAATTCTAATAAATGGATCTAATTTTATTATCCCTCTTAGGGATAATGGAGAACTATTTACAACCAACTTCTTTCATTTATTGGATTTAACAACCACACTTATATCAGACAAACAAGTTATTCTATATGACATTCTATTTAGACATTAATTAATTTTACCTCCGCTTAGGTTATCTGGTTATCTTGTGATCTAGACACAACCTAAATACTTAACAAGTGCTTAACTGTGTTTTGCTTTCCTACTTGCTGGAAAACGGCATCTGTGGTTCCAATTTTTTAAAAAACTCTGGAGATTATTCTGACCTCTCTGGTTATTATTCTGACCCCTCTGTAGATTATGCTGACCCCTCTGGAGGTAAACTCTGACCCCTTTAATTTAATACCTTAAGTCTAACTACTTATTCTCTGACAATCAGTACTAAAGTTTTTGTCATTTTGTTCTACTGATGAGTTGTTAATAGAAATAGTTATCATGCATTTGGAAGGGCTATTGCTCTAGACATTAAAAAAAAAAGTCTAACATGCTGCTCTTTTTTGTTGTGCTTGCTATTTTCTTACTTCTGATTCCATTCTCTATAAATATTTGTCCATACATATGAAATATATTTTTCACTTTTGGTTTCATAAGGCTTCTATATATTAGACAAGATTAAAAAAAGCATTGTAGATGTTATCAGAGTTGCTTGCTGAGATTGAGATTATCATTTTATCATTTAAATCTCTTTCTCTTCTACAGTTGTTGCTCAAGCAAGCTTTTCTTATTTAGCAAAGTTGCATTCTTTTACTAAAACTGTTCCTTAATTTTCAAAAAAATTTATCTTTAAAAAAAATTTATCTGCTTTTCTATCTAAAATACTAATGCTTTTGAATTTTATTGTTTTTAACTCTTTTTTTTTTCTTTCTGTTAACTTCTAACTTAAACAATCAAGATCAAGATGAGTTTGTGTTTAAATTTTGATAAAAAAACAAAAATTTAAAAACAAAATTGAATATCAATTTTAATATAATTATTTAATTAAATATTTTACAGTAGTATTAACTTCTTATTTAATTATTATTATTCAAGATATGGCTACATCAATTCCCTGCCATTATTTTAACTTGTTAGTGGTGTTATTTTCTAAAACTTTACAAAGTTTTTTTCGGCTTTAGTTTTTTTAGAGATATAGCAGTGAAACCAGAAGATAAAGAGGAACCGAGTGTCATTTTGACTCTTGCTAGCGATAGCAATGTTTTAACTCTTCACAAGTTACTGTGGTTTTCACAGGAAAAGATGGGAAGATATTTAGCTATGTTTCGGTAAATCTTGCTTCAATATTTTGGTATTATAATATTTTATATGTTTGCTACCTTCAGTGTAATTAATTAAAGTTAAAAAAACTGTAACTCTAGAATATCCCTTTGTTATGTACCCTAAGTTACAATGGTAATCAATAACAAAGGAAAAAAAAAGTTTTAAAGCATTAAAAGCGCTTTACAATTTGCTCATGTTGATGTACTCATTTAGATGTACTCATAGCAGTATAGATAAAATACATGAAAAAAATGCCTTTTTTCTAAAGTTTCATGATAAAAATGTAAAAAACTATAGATAACTATGATTTTTAAAACTTTATTTTTATTTATTTTATAAGAGTTTAATACTTTTTAATGCTAGGAGTATTTATTATTAAATCAGGTTTTGTTAAATTTATCTTTTTTTAAATATAAGAGTTATAAGAGTTTAATACTTTTAAATGCTAGGAGTATTTATTATTAAATAGGGTTTTGTTAAATTTTTCTTTTTTTAAATATAACAGTTATAAGAGTTTAATACTTTTAAATGCTAGGAGTATTTATTATTAAATAGGGTTTTGTTAAATTTATCTTTTTTTAAATATAACAGTTATAAGAGTTTAATACTTTTTAATGCTAGGAGTATTTATTATTAAATAGGGTTTTGTTAAATTTATCTTTTTTTAAATATAACAGTTATAAGAGTTTAATACTTTTAAATGCTAGGAGTATTTATTATTAAATAGGGTTTTGTTAAATTTATCTTTTTTTTAAATTAGGGGTGCTGCTGCTCGGGATCCTTACGAAAAGCTGGTGACGCTTCTTGCTCATCTTGGACCACCTGAAAATCAAACAGTTAAACTTACTCAACGGTAATTATTAAAAAAAATTTTATTTTATTTCACTAGAGTGCCAAAACATGTAGTTGAGTTTGTATTAAAAATGGAGGCTAAATAATACAATCATATAAACATATCAAACCTTGAAATGATTTTCACAAAAGATTTTCAAAAAACTTTTACTAATAATTAATTCGGTTATAGGGAACAAATGTGTTCTTGTATTTGGTGGTCAAAAGTAATTCATATCATTCATTGCAGTATTCTTGTAAAAATATATCAAGAATCGCAGATCTTTTGGGGCATCTTTTTACAAATAAAAATTAATTTTAGCTCTTATATAAGAAGCAACAAGAATTTGTTTTAAAATATTTTTTTTTTGTTATTCTTGTAAATAATCTACAAAAATTAAAAAGTACTTCTGTTATAAGTAATATTTTAAGTAGCTGTTTAGTAGTATGTTTGTTCATATTTTTGTATAAACATGGTTTAATTCTTATTCTTATTACTTTTTTCAAAATTGTAAGTTGTCTACTACTAATTGTAAGTTGATAGTAATATAGCTTTAATCCAGACTGTTTTTAAAAAAATTTAGATAAACAATTTAATGGTTTTAAATTTGATATGGAAAAAATATAATATAAATGTATAATTTAGGTGTATTTAACATAAAAAATGTATGATAAATTTGATTTTTGTTGCTGTTATTACTGTTGTTGTTTTTTTTTTTGTTTTTTTTTTTTATTTTGTTGAATATTTTTAGCATAATTGGTGATGGAAAAGAAACTTCTCTTTGGGGTTTTGAAGACTTTATGGCAAAACATGAAGGACAAAATAAAGAAGAGCTTGAGTACATTAAATCAAATCAACTTTTTTATGGAGATGGAAAATCTAAAGCTGGTCGTCATGTTTTTTATTATATTGCAAGAAGATATATGTAAGAATCAAACTAAAAAAATACACATGCAATTTTATTATATTAAAGTTTGAAATTTATACAATTAATTTATTTTGATATTGGTTATTAGTTATACAAAACAATAGTTTGATAATATTTTTTGTCGCTATCAGGAATGATATGATCAGTGATGAAGTTTTCTTATATCATATTTTGTTAACATTGCAACCAGTACGTGGGGAAAACTGGGAATTGGTTGCTGACTTCTCTCATACATCACTGGTCAACAGGTTCAAGGTATGAATCTAAAGATACATACAATGCCATGTCAAAATTCTGGAAATTTGTGCATAATTGTTTTTATTTTAGGCTGATACCTTGATAAAAGCGTTCACTATTATTCCAGAAAGTCAGTTAGCAAGTTTACAATTAATATATTTATACAATATAAATCATTCCCTTATCCAATATATGGAATTAAATGAGCGTGTTATGAAGCCAGGAATCGCAAAGGTTTTTTACTGTGTTGTTTTTTATTTAAACTTACATTTTTATAATGAAATTGTTAATTAAATTATATATTTTATGTCTTTAGAATATTCAAAAGATAGTTATCATTGATAAACTTTCCAAATTGTATGAATATATAGAAAATGTGAAACTTCCTTCTTCAACTTTAACTCTTGAAAATGATATTAAGGTTTTTTGTTTTTTTTGTTAAAATGGAATAATTTATATATATATATATATATATATATATATATATATATATATATATATATATATATATATATATATATATATATACAACTTTTATCTTTAAACAAATTTTTATTCATCAGCAAAAAGTTATTTAAATTGATAGCTTTTAAATGAGAAAGGTTTTGACAAGTCTTTATTTAATTCCTTTAAAAGTCATGTTAGGTCAACATTGAGCACTCCTCTATTTGTAGAATATATATATATATATATATATATATATATATATATATATATATATATATATATATATATATATATATATATATATATATATAATATATATATATATATATATATTATGTACTGTTATTATTTTAGAGGTATACAGTGTTAAAAATCACAATGAAAGGAACTGTAATTCTAAAGGTCAGTATTTAAAAGTTTTTTTTTTAAATAGGATCGCAATAAGAATATAAATTGATTTTAAATACTTCAAGGTTAATCCAACATCAGTACAACTTCAATCTCCTGATAAAGTTAAAGTTCTTGGGTTGTCAGTTTATATTAATGATGTGTTTTATGCATCTGAAATTGAAAAGGTGAGAATAGAATAGTCTATTTTATTTTTTTATTTTTTATTAATATTTTATGCTATTGTGTTGATCTAAAGTTTTGAAATCTAATAGTCTTGAAATTCTGGAATCTCAGTGTCCAGAAACTCTGGAAAAGTTAAAACTGTTTTCTCTTATACTGTTGTATGAATAATGATTAAGCTACAAATAAACTGTAGCAATAACCTATATACTAAATTTTGTTGTATCTAGAACTCTTTGGTCGCAATCTGTTTACTAATATTCTTGTTCAGGCTTAATTGTATGTTCATGCAAATAAAAGTGCAAATAATAAGTCTCAGAATGTTTATTATTTAAACTTGAATGTATTTGTAAAGATAAAAAATAAATGTTTAATTTTAGCTGAAAAATCTGATTTATTTTTTAAATTTTAGTTTTTAATAATTAGAGCTTTACATAATTATAGAGCTTTATCTTTTGTTTGTGTGTCATGTGTTAAATACATGTATACATGTTTGTATACATCATTTTAGTTAAAGGTGTGTGATGCTTATAAATTTTGTTGTTATAGGCAAGCAGCTATGAAGATGTGTTGTCATTAGAGTTTTCATCGCGTACTGGAATTTTAAATTTTCGCACTACGCAAGCAGCAGAAATTGCTAGCTATATTAACAACATACATTCCAGGTGGAATCCTTCTCACTCTGTAAGTATAATTAATTGGTCCTTGTTTTGATTGATCCTTGTTTTGACATTTTTGTTAAGTTAAAGTGTCTGTTAGCAAATTATATAAAAAATTTAAATAATTGTTGCTTGGTTAATTGTTTAAAAATGTTATTGAAAATAACATTTCCAAAAAGTTATTTTCAATAACATTTTAAAAAATCAGTTCTGTTTTTTACTATCAGCATAGCATGTTCTTTACGATCAACATAGCATGTTGTTTACTATCAACATAACAAAGATCTTCGTTAAATAACCACCTTTATAAACCCACAATGCATTTCTTTAGAAGTTTTTTTAAGCTAATAAATAGTAGTATATACCAGATAAAAGATAATAGTATATACTACATTTTAATGTGCTTCCTAGTCAAAAATGTGGAAATGAATAACTGTGAAATTATTTCAAGTTAAATTAAGTAGCTTTTTATTTTATTTTACTTTTACTATTGTAGTAATTTGTTTAAAAACCTAAAACCTATAAAATAATCTGCTTCATTTTTCTCTACATTTCATTATATTATTATATATATGCATTATTCAATAGATTTTCTCATGTTAATTACAATCGTTTCTATGCCCTCATGCATAAATAAATTTACTAATCAAATGCTAAACAGATTCCTCAAAATATTCTTTATTCTTTACTTTTTCATATGCTTTAAATAATGCTGTATATTCGTAAAATAAATACATATAACAAAACAAATCTATATACAAAGTATTTATAAATTAAATTATTTAATTTCATAAATGTATATAACAAATGTATACAAAATATTCATAAAATAAATATATAAAAACTAAAACTTAAATATTAAATGTTAAAATTGATAAATAATAAATTATAATAAAAAAATAAATAATAAAAAATTAGAAAAATTATGTATATATATGATATTCTAATTTTTTTAATAATATATATATAAATTACAAAAACTTTAAACTTTAATATTTAGGATAAAAATACAAAAATTATTACAAAAAAGAAAATTAGACCAAAAGATGTTCCAGGGACTTTGTTAAACATGGTAAGATGCATTTAATACTTTTATTTATATGTCTACTTTTTTGATAAATATATTTTCAATACTTATTTTTCTCTGTGGGCAGTCTTTGATTAATTTAGGTAACCGAGATCCCAGCCTTCGTTTGGCTGCTTACAATTTACTGTGCTCTCTAACACAAACTTTTAACTTGCAAATCAATGAGCGGTTGTTAGAAGCAAAAGGTAATCATGAAGTAGTTGTTATTACTATTGTTATTATTAATATTAATGATAATAATAATAAATACCAATATTAAAATTTGAAATTAAAAAAAATTCCACATTATTTAAAGTTTCCACATGATTTGAAGTTTCCTTTTTTTATTACTTTTTAATTACGTTTTTTTCACCATAATCAACCAATGTTTATTGAGTATAATGGTTGCTTGTTAAATATAGATATCAGAGGTATCATATATTGAAAGAGAAATGCCTGTTTACCCCATTTTATGTTTATTTATCACTATTGTTATTTTTATTTATTTTAACTTTAAGCTTTTTTGGAGATTAATTAGTTGTTTCAAATAGTTGTAATTATTTTTATTATTTATGACATCAGCATAGTTATATTTATAATAATGACAAAAACAACATAAAAGAATGTCATTCAGCTAATCAAAATAAAATAAAAATAAATTTATGTAATTTATTTAAACAAAAACAAAAAGAGATAATGAGTTCTAATAATTAACAGAACTTAGACTATTATTATCATTATTTGATATTAGATGAAATCAATACTATGTAGCAGTGGTCTTTATTCCAAATTTAAAATAAATTATTGTTGATGAGTTATTTACTCTTAAGCATAGTAATGGAAATTAAAAATAATGACAATAAAATGGTTGTTTTCTTTGTAAAATTTTAGGTCAAGTTTATTGAAAAGAAAAGAAGCTTTTTTAAAGTTTTAAAAAAATTCTACAAACAAGTTGAAAACTTTTGAACAAGAAACACTTAAACAATTTCTTAGAACAAAGCAAAAAAAAAAGATTAAAAATAGAACAGTTTAAAAGCTGTACAGAAGTAAAAAATTTCTTAGAACAAAGCAAAAAAAAAAAGTTAAAAATAAAACAGTTTAAAAGCTGTACAGAGGTAGATTACTCAAGTCTTGATCATATCAAAAGACATGGATTGTTTAAACAAAAATAAGTATATTAAGAAACCTATTATGCTTTAAGTTAATTTTTTATTTCAATTTTTATCCATTTGTAGTAGTATGGTCATCATCTATTATATATAAGAATTTTTTAGTATTTTTGGGAAAATTGGTCTAATTATTAATTTAGTATAATGAGTAAAAATAACTTTTTTTAACATTGTTTATCTTTTTAAGTTTAAAAAATATTTTTAAAATTTTTATCAATGTTTATTTTACATATTAGTAGTAATCTTTCATAGTAGTACGCAATTAGTAGTAATCTTTCATTTCATTACTTAGCAGTATAAGTATTTATTTAGGTATTTGTATACCATCAAACTGTACATTATTTATCACAAGTATCAGTGAACAGCTTGCTCAAAGGGAACCTAATCTTACATTAGAGGTTTACAAAAAATTTTTATTAACAACTTCATATTTTTATTAATAACTTCATAATTTTTTTTGTCCTTACATTGTTGTATAATAGTATGTGTAAAATTACATACATACATACATACATACATACATACATACATACATACATACATACATACATACATACATACATACATACATACATACATACATACATACATACATATCCATCATCATCATCATTATCGTCATCATCATCATCATCATCATTATCATCATTGTCATCATCATCATCATCATCATCATCATCATCATTGTCATCAACTACATCAATATATATGTACTTTGAGGTTGATTTGCATTTTTTTTAATAGTTTCTTGAAGAATGCACTAGTTGCTTTTCAAAGTGTGATGATGAATCAAGAAATTTATGCTTAAATTACATGGCACCTTGGCTTCCTAATCTAGTTAAGTAAGAGTTTATTTTTAAATTTTATAGATTTTTTATAGAATTTATTCTATTAACTTCAGCAACTTATTTCAAAAAAATTTTTTATAGTTTTAGTAACTTAAATAAAAAAGATACAAATAAAGAGAAGATGGTTGATATAATTGCAAGGCTTATTGAACTAACTATATCTGATCGAAAGGTAATAAAGATTGTTTCCATTAGAATAATAGTATATATATACCTAATAAATAATAAAAATTAGTTGAAACAAAGGATATTGGAATTCATTATTCATTTTGAAAATGTTTATGTAAAAGTATTTCATATCAAATCTATGTTATAAGTATATATTATTTATGAATTTTTTTTTTTTTGATGTTGTAACTCATCCAAAACACAATCCTTGACAAACAAAATCCCTGAATAGGGATGAGGGGAATAGGTTGAGAACAGTACTACGAAGGATATAATCATTAAATTAAATATCTTTTGCTTTTGAAGCAAGCACTTCACCACTTCACCATAATGAAAAATGCTGGAATGTTTATGACTAGTGCATCAACTCTTAATAAAATACTTTACTCATCCAAGTTATTCATTTTTTTGTTTGTTTGAAAACAATATTATGGTGAAGTGGTCTTTATTCCAAATTTACTTTTATTATATATATATATATATATATATATATATATATATATATATATATATATATATATATATATATATATATATATATATATATATATATATATATATATATATATATATATATATATATATATATTAGGGTGGCTCTTAAAACAACTTTTTTGAGAAAAACCTGTTCTTTAATTTGTTCTATATAATACTAAACTAATTTATTCTATATAATACTAGGTTTAAAATTTTTTTGAACAAAATACTTTACTCTTAATATAATACTTTACTCATCCAAGTTATTCATTTTTTTGTTTGTTTGAAAACAATATTATTATGTTTATCTAAAAAAGTTTATCTAACGTATGTCAACCAGGTGCTCAAAAGAAGCACAATTATATAAAACTTTAAAAATAATAATCAATTTACATAAAAAAACATGTCTAAAAAATTATTCTCAAAAAACTTGAAAATATTTTTTTATTTTAAACTTTTTTTATTTTAAAAACAATAAGCTTAAATACAATAGTTTTTATGCATTTATATTTAAAAAAATTATTTTTATGAAAAATGATTTTCATTTCTCTGTAAGGTTATCTAGGAAAGATTGTTCAGTTTACTTTAACTGATAAAATTGCTTATTAACAAAGAAGAAGAAAATGGCAATACATTTAATAAAATGATTACAATTATGTTTAAATTTTTTTGATTTATTTTTTTAATAAAATTTTTTTTAATAAATAAAGAGTTGTACAAAGTTAATAAATAAATGTGTTTAGAACTATCCATTTATTCAAGCCCAGATTTGGGGTAATGTTGGTAAAATTCCAGATTTATTAGATGTTGTAATAGAGTTGTTTGTAAAGGTAAGGTATTTTTCAAAGTCTTTTTTTTATCTAATAATAACTATATACTACTACTACTACTACTACTACTACTACTACTACTACTACTACTACTACTACTACTACTACTACTACTACTACAATAACTACTTTTACTATATGTGTATGTATATATATATATAAAAACTGTACTTTGTTAAGCATGAAATGCTACTGATGATAAACATTAGCTAAAGGTTTGGGTCTGTAATCAATATGCACACACTAGTAGTAGTATTTGCACTTGTATGTACACAGACTGTATTTTTTTTCACACTTGTATTTGCATGTACACAGTCTGTATTTTATTTCACACTTGTACTTGCATGTACACGTGTGTACATAAATACAGACTGTAAACATGAACATGTACTATTCTGTATTTATGTTTTTAAGATGAAGTAAAAAAATAATAAAAACACAAATTTCTTTGAATTTCTTGTACATTAATTACAAACATAAACACAACCTCCCTGCACATCAACTTGTTTATAAGCTAAATAAATTTTAGTTATTACTTTTTCCTGGTCAAACTTAAAACTTAACTTTAAACCTTTGAAAGTAAAATAGATTTAATTTAAATTAACATTCAGAAAAATTATTGATTTGATACTTATTTATTATTAATACTTTAAAATATAAGGCTAAAAGCTTTATTAAAAATGTTGAAAGATAAAACTATATCTTTAGACCAGTTCTACTGGTGGTTTTTTATCTGAGAAGGCTGAGGTTATGGCAGACACAATGGTTACTCTGGCATCTGCTAATGTTCCGCTTGTTTCAAAAAAAATATTTGAAAGATTTCACATGGTATTTATTTATTTTTTTATACCCATATGCATTATGTTACTCTAAAAATTGTGGTTGTATCTTTAATTTATTGATCAGATATTATACTTTTCTTTTTGATGAAAATTTCAAGACAATTACATATTATTTAAATTTTCATTTAACTTAAAAAAGACATGGATCACATTAGGGCTGTTCAGTATGCTAATTTGTTTTCAGAACATAGCTAATTGAAGTTTTTCCCATTCAACTATCATATTGTGGTTCAAAAATATTTTTTACTAAATTTTATTATTTGCCCTAAAGGTCCCTCAAAGCCACTAAACATTTGACAGGTCCCTAATATTATTGAAAAAAAACTATTTAAAAATATGTCAACTTGGTACCCAAAAGAAGCAAAATTTTATAAAAATTTTAAAAATTAGATTCATTTTTTTAAAAAACTTAGATTTATTATAAAAAACAACTTAAAAAAACTTATTATTAAAAATGTTGTGAATATTACCTTTTTTTCATTTTTTGTTTAAAAACCAAAGTTTTTATTCAAAAAAACCTAATATTGTTATTTTTATAAAAAGTACTTTTTGTTTTTGAAACTTTTAAATGATTTTGCTTCTTTTGAGTACCAAGTTGACATATTTTTAAATAATTTTTTTTTCAATAATATTAGGGACCTGTCAAATGTTTAGGGGCTTTGAGGGACCTTTAGGGCAAGTAATAAAATTTAGTAAAAAATATTTTTGAACCACAATATGATAGTTGAATGGGAAAAACTTCAATTAGCTATGTTCTGAAAACAAATTAGCATACTGAACAGCCCTAGGATCACATGAATCATTTTTAGTTTCTCTTATAGTTGACATGGATAAATTAGATTTTAATTTTTTCAACAGAAGAACTGGGCCTGTTAAAAAGTATTGTACAATTTCTAACTCCGAAATATGATAAACTTGATGGATAGCAAATTTTATGCTATCAATGTTTAAATGTATGTGTGTGTCTATCTATCTATCTATCTCTATATATATATATATATATATATATATATATATATATATATATATATATATATATATATATATATATATATATATATATATACTCATATAGTGTCGCTTTATAAGCATTTTAATGTAAAAAAAGTCTCTTACGACTACAATTTTAATTACCTCGTCTCTTAAGCTGTTTTTGATTGTCATCGAAATGTCAAAGCAATTAATTTATGCGGAAGTACATTAAATTTAATTGTTTTTTAAAAAATTTTTAAAAAACCGCAATTACAACGACTAGAAAGTTTTTTTTAATTAGTGGTGTTTTTGTTATTGATTTAATAAAAAACATTTTTTAAACATGCGTAAATGTTGCTACATCGACTATCTTATAGCCTGACTCGCAACGGAGTGCTGCTACATCGACTGACAAATAGCCTGACTCGCAACGGAGTGCTGCTACATCGACTGACAAATAGCCTGACTCGCAAGGGAATGCTGCTACATCGACTGACAAATAGCCTGACTCGCAAGGGAGTGCTGCTACAACGACTGACAAATAGCCTGACTCGCAAGAGAGTGCTGCTACATCGACTGAGGGTTTGGTTTGGCCAGGCAGTCTATCAATTAAAAAAAAAAATTTAATTTTTAAAACTTTTTCTGGTCTGGTTTATTAACGCGCTCTTTAAAACTACAGTTTATGGGAAATATTTTTTGATGCTACGCAAGAGACATGCAAGAGTATATATATATATATATATATATATATATATATATATATATATATATATAGTGTTCAAAGTGGAGAAAAAAAAGTAACAGGATCAAGCTTGGTCGGGAAGCGGGAGCGATCGCTCTCGAATACTGACCATGGAAATTATATTTAGTTGCGAAAAACTGGCCAGGTTTTTTAGTCGTTTTAAGAACATTTAAGTTTATTTATGAAACAAAAAATTTTTATTTTACGGACATAAATGGAAACATAAAAAACTTAAATGTTCTCAAAACATCTTGGTGCAAAAGAATAAAAAGAATATTCATGAACACTAAAAACCCGCCAAATTAACAAACTAATTCTATTGGTTCAAAAAATACGCTGCCTAAGCGAAATAAAGTTCTAGAGTATTCTGTTGAAATGTTTTAGTAATTGTATTATTCACGATTTGTTACGTTTTGAGATTTCTAGCATTAATTGTTTTAAGAATATATATTATTTGTTTACAAAAATAAATGCTTTAAATATATATTAATTAAATAGTCAAAATTTTAAAAGTTTATTATAAATTATAGATTTTATTAGTATATTCTTATTTTTTATTTAAAAAGTATGTATTCTTTATGTAAATTTAATTTTGTGTATCTGTTTTTTATCGTAATGTATCTTTTAAAGCAATTTTTATGATTTAAACAAAGACTTACAAAAATAATTGCGTTTTCAATGAAGTTATAATCATTAAAGTTAATAAAACTAATTATGTAACAAACATATAAGAAGTTTCTGGTTACTAAACACAAACAACGCATACAAAGTAACTAGCGGATGAACAAGCTCCGCGCCTGAGGTCACGACAGAACACAAATATATATATAGCAAATAATTAGATATAAAGATAAGTTTATAGATATTGGTTTACTAACTCTAATTATTTTCGCTTAAGTTGCCATTCTTAAAACTCGTTATACTTTTTTCTGCTTTAAATACTAATTAAAATTAAAAAGCCCACTCACTAAGCATCATCAGCGATATTGTGAAGCAGTTTCGCTTCCTTGTCATAAAGTATTTTTAACCTTTTTAGTTGATTTCTATCTTGTTAATTTAATTTCTATAGTAATTCAATGATTTAATTATTTCATTTGTTTATCATACTAAGAAGAATTGCTTCAAATATGTTAAGCTTTTCAAACTACGCGAAACATAAAACAGGTATTAAAAATATTAACTTTTTATTTATAAAATAATTTAGCTTAAATAAAACTAAAACTTTGTTAAATAAAGAAAACTTTGTTAAATAAAGTGTACTTGTTTCCTTTTTAAACGATCGTAAGATGTTACTTTATATATAAAACATCGCCTAATTTTATAAAAAAAATTATAAAAGAGCGATGTTTTGAAAATATTCTAAACTTAGCTTTAAGTTTTTTTAAGTTTAAAGATATTTTATTTGCCAAACTTTTTTTTTTCGTAATTGTCTCTCATCGGTCCGATTAATCTTTAGTGCTTTTTATTTTTTGATCAGCATTCGAGAGCGATTGCTCCTGCTTCCCGACCAAGCCTGCAGTATGGTATTCACTAAATAAAATATACCATCCCGCTTAATCATTGTTATACTTAGAGAATTATAAAATGGTGATGGGATGGCATCCTGCCCCACTTCACTGTATATATATGTATATATATATATATATATATATATATATATATATATATATATATATATATATATATATATATATATATATATATATATATATATATATATACATAAACTTTATTAATGATCTTTATGTTTGTGTGTATTAGTATTAATTTAGATTTTAAATTTAAATTAAGTGTAAATTAAAACTGTTTAAAAGAGTATATTAAATATTCTGTTTATATTACCACAGGTAATTGAGCGAACAACTGTCTCGCCTACTGATTGTTTAGAACGACACTTAATGTGGGATGACATAGCTATAATGGCTAGATATCTACTAATGCTATCATTTAATAATTCATTAGATGGTAATTAAATTTCAATTTATAAAACATTTATTTTTCTGAATAATATTATATATATATATATATATATATATATATATATATATATATATATATATATATATATTCATATTCATACAGTGCATGTGATAAATAAAATCGCTCAGCGCAATATTTTGCACTCGTAATACTAAAACACATCAATTAGTGTGATTATGCGTGCTCGACATGCCATGGGGCCATCCATAAATTTCATATGCAAGTAATGGGAGGGGGTCTCTCAAAAAAGTTTCAATTCAAAGTTCTATAACAAATATATTTATTTTTAGTTTCGTTTAGCTTTAACTTTTTTAATAAATAGAATTTAATATAAGCTTATTTGGCTTGAAGATATCAGTGAAAATATTTATTTTATTAATTTATATTTGACGAAAAAAAAATATAAAATATTATTTTATATATAATATATATATAAAAAAATTTTTTGAAATAAGTTGCTGAAGTTAATAAAATAAATTTTTCGAAGTAAAAATTCTAGTTAAGCGAAGTATTTTGTCAAATGGGCCCTGAAAAACTGTTAGAGTTGGTAAATGGTTCGACTTAACCAGGGTACCATTAAGCAGATAATATGATAAAGTTCAACTGGAAAAAAAAACGTGCTGAATTTAGCTTTCAAATAGTAGAAATAGATCATTTTTAATTTGAACTTATGCCGCATAAATTAAAAAAAGGTGCATCACAAATAAATTATGCATGATGTACTTTATTACGAATATAACTTCTTTATTTAACAATATGCAAACGCTACTGTTTAAACATATTTTGACTTAAGCAAAATAATTTTTATTAAAAATATTTTCTTTAAAATCAACTTATAATTTTGTCAAACCCAATTTTTTTTCTCTCATTGTCGCTCCTGGAAGGCCATTTGCAGGTGTGTTTCTTGTGCGCAGAGTGATCGCTCCTACTTCATCACAAGCTCTGTATATATATATATATATATATATATATATATATATATATATATATATATATATATATATATATATATATATATATATATACACACATACTACACTGTACTATATTATACTAAACTGCACTGTAGTGCATATAGATATGAGTTTGCTGACTTTTTTTTCCAACTTTAGTCAAATAATTTTTTGTAAAAACAGAGAAAAACAAAGAATAATGAAAAAAACTTATCATTTCTTGATGCCCTTGGAAACTCCTTATTATTAAGTTTTATTTGAAAATTAATTTAATTGTTTTATGTTTAGTTTCAACTCACTTGGCAGATATATTTCATGTAGTTATTTTGCTTGTATCAACGGGACCAGTTACACTTCGTGCATCTATTCATGGTTTAGTTATTAATGCGCTTCAATCTATTCTTACATGTTCTAATATGAAACTAAGCAGTAAGTGTAATTAAAACATGTCTTTGCTTACATTTAAAAGGAGTAGATGAATCCTAAAAATAAGAATAGATAATTAGTAAAAGCTGTTAGATTTATTAAAAACAGTTAGTGACATTTTTTTATAAAACTTTAATGCATTTAATATTAATATATTTTCAATTGTATTTTATATTTATTTCATGTTTTTTATTTATTTAAGTTTGTTATGTAAATTTTATAAATATGTGTATATTATTTTGTATAAATGTATAAGATATATTTGTATTGTAAGATATATTTATGTTGTTAGATATATTTGTATAAGTATATATATAAAAATATCTTATATTAATAAATATTCCCCTGCAGCTTCCCTATTTCATATTGAAATACAAAGTTTCATTACATAGATTGACTGAGGATTTGAGCTGCATATCTAGAAATTACCTAGAAATGAAGAATTTTTAATCTAAAAAAAGCAACAAAAGAATCATTTTCAATAAAATGTTTTCATACAATAATTTTGTATGAATTTAATTTAATTTTGCTCCAAAAAAGTTGCATCTAATTGAACATAAAACTTTAAGTTTTTATGTGTTACACATTATACTATATATAGTAAAGAAGTAATAATTTTTATGATCAAAGTTTTTATGTGTTATAGAGAGAGAATAAGTCTCAAGTCTAAAATATGAGAGTTGTATATGAGAAAGTATATGAAAAAGGTTTCAATTAAGAAAAAAATGGAAATTAAACGAACTAAGCAGTTACTAGTTTGTTCAAGCATCCAACTTTTATAGAAAATAATTTTATCACAGTTAATCAAAGCACATTTATATTTCATATTTATAAATCAATGTAAATTTTCTGAATCATTGTTAATTGACTGTTATACAATCAACCAGTGTAAACCATTTTTGTTTACAGTTTGTAATTATATTTATATCAGCAAAAAATATATTCTATACGATTTAACATAAGTAATAAGTTGTATCATATAGAATATATGATATAACATATTATCTATGTTATATATATAATAATAGAAATTCGTGCTTAAGGTTTATTGACTTATTGATAGTTTACATTTGTTAAAGGTTTGCATGAGAAAACATACCAGATAAGTTATATACCAGATATTTATAGTTGCAAAATGTTATTTATAGTATACAGTACTATTCCATCATAGTTTGTTTATACTTGTTAAGAATAATCATTATCTGTACCAAGAAAGAAATTACCATCATCATTCGATGAGTTATTTGATGGGAAATTGAATTGCTTTCTATGTACTAAAAAAGCAGATCATCACCGATTACTAAAGTTGAGACCATACCAAAGATTAATAAAATAAACATTCTTTAAATAGAGATTATAAATTATTCTTAAAATAAAGATTATAAACATTCTTGTTTGATATCTTGTTACAATCTTGTAGCGGAAGAAGCCATCTATTATATTTCTTTCATAAACAACTTTTGTGTTAAAACCAACACCAGTAACCAACATAAACATCCATTAGATGTCATGGTTGAAAATTTTGAGAAACTCTCTTTCTGGTTTAGGAGAGGAAATGACAGCAAACTCTAAACTCTTTTGGAACAAAAGGGTTTAGAGTTTTGCATTGTAAGATGAAAGACCTTACTATATACAATTACTTTTACATTATGATGATCAAAAATTAGTCAAAATATACAATTAATTTTACATTATAGTGATCAATTTTTTATCGGAGAAATCTCTGGCCAATCTAATTTAGTTTGTTTCAGAGATATGGTGTCTTTTATTATATTGAAACTTCGAAAAACAAAAGATCACTCTAAAAATGATATCATAGCTGCTGCTGCAAGTATAACTAATAGCAAAATCAGAAAAATGAGGAGATAGGTGATATTCAATATAGACTAAAATGGGTTTCAAAGAGCTTATAGTTATTTCTAGGCTATTTATTTTTTTCAAAGCTTCAACAAATTAGTTTAGCACAATGCATTGCTCATGTTTCAGGGCCATGATCTTTAATAGCACCAATTCTATCTGGTATTGACGTAGGTATTGACAAACTTTTTAAAAATAAATGGCTTGTAAATCACCTTGCAAGATTAATATTTTCAATATTCTCTGATAAAGTGAAGTTACCTGCTGAAGTTATTGTTGTAGGTTACAACATTTGCACATCGGCCGGAAAAAAAACATTTATATGTTCTTCTAAATGTCTAAAATATCTATCACATAATGACGAATTTTCTCAGAAGCATAGTAAAACTTTTGGCAGGAGCTGATTTAGAAGAAGTTTTAGAGCAAGTTAACTGTAAGGAAACAGTAAAAAGGAAAAACTGTTGCAAATACATTATAAGGCCATATGTTGGTCCAGAGTGCATTGATGAGTCATATTATAAATATTTTAGTTGACCAAATGAAAATGACAATGCAAAGTATTGATGAGTCATATAAATATTTTAGTTGACCAAATAAAATGGCAATGCAAAATAGAATGAACATGGAACAATTAATCAGACTTGGTAGTATAGATATCATCAGAATTATTGAATATGTGCAATATGTGCCATATTAATGTATACAGAGGTAGAGGATTTGATGAAAATGTATGCGACCTATAGACAATAAGCATTTGTTGTTTTGAAGGTGTTCATGAAGCAATGCAAAATTACCAGAATTTCAAAATTAAAGTTATAGAAAACAATAAAAATATGGATATTAAAGGAAAAGCATATGATTATGAATTGTTTTATGAATGTTTTTCTGTTAGAAATCCATTTCATACATATGATAGAAATCTATTTTCATTATTTTCTGGTGTTTAGTCTGTCAATGGTAAAAATTTTCTGCCGAATTCTCACAACAAAGCACAATTAATTCTACTTTTGTCCAACTATGTTAAAAGAGAAGACATATATATATTTGTAATGAGGGTGCAGACACAAAAGTTGTGGCTGTAAGTTGCTTAAGAAATTTCATCATGCATTGATGTTGCAGATGGTACTGATATAGTCGGGGTGCTGCTATATCATTGGAAAGATAAACAAATGAAATTTTTTTTAATCAATATCTAAAATAGTTTTAGATTACTGGGCAACCAAAAGAGAAGTTTAGATTACTGGGCAACCAAAAGAAAAGTTGGGGAAGTTTGGAGTCTGTTGTAAAAGCTTTTATTGAACTTTTTGGTGGAAATCTTCAAACTAGCTTCCCAGCATTATGTAATTAAGTAAATAAGTAAATCAATTTATTTATTTATTTTTACGCAGAATTTGCATTGTTTTTTTTCTAGTGTAAAAGGACTTGCATTGTTTTTCTATTGTAAAAGGACACTTGGAAAGGACTTAAATTAGTTCTATTATAAGAAAATATAATTATAGCTATTTTATTAATTTTAAAATTATGAACATGTTTGAAATTTTTATATTGAATATTTATTTGAATGATAATAAAATTATTTTTCAGGCACAACCCAGCTTCTAATAAGAACGAAACTTGAAGATTTATCCTTACAAAAGTTTTACCTACTGTTTGGTAATCTTTAGTTAACTTTTTTTCATTTTTAATTTTGTTTCAACATTTTTTTTTAAATTCATTTATTTTTATTTGCTTTTTTCCCCATGCATTTTTATCCTTCACCTTTATTTTCATGATTAACCTATATCTTTGTTGTTGTTTTCATTATTAACTTATATTTTTGTTGTTGTTTTCATTATTAACTTATATTTTTGTTGTTGTTTTCATTATTAACTTATATTTTTGTTATTGTTTTCATTATTAACTTGTATCTTTGTTGTTATTTTTATTATTAACCTGTATTTTTGTTGTTGTTTTCATGATTAACCTGCATCTTTGTTGTTGTTTTCATGATTAATCTGTATCTTTGTTGTTGTTTTCATTATTACCCTGCATCTTTGCTGTTGTTTTCATTATTAATATGTATCTCTGTTGTTGTTTTTTTATATCTAACGGGTCACAACTAAAATTTTGCCGAAACTTTGGGATAATGTCAATAAAGATCTGCTTTGTATATATTTTTAAAATTTTAACAGAATATACTCAAAAGCATTCTCTATTCAAATATATTTTTAAATAGTTCGTATGATTTGTAGTTCAAAAAATATCACGCTATAATGTATGAAGATCTAAAATCCATTTTGTATAAATACTATCAAAAAAACCATGGACTGGGGGGAAAACATATTTTTGATAAATTTATCAGCATGGGAGCTCCAAAAAGGACTTTAAATCTTTGGCTTAGCATGCTGGAACAAAATAAAGTACTAACTAGGAAAAAAGGAAGCGGTCCTCCGACCACTATAGCGACATATATAGCGACACTATAGCAAACAACATACGTAAGATGAAAAATTTCTTCAATCATCGGAAGGGCTGCTCACAGAAAAGAGTAGCTAGCAAGCTAAAAATGACTTAGCAATACGTTTCAAAGATGCTATTGCAAAGAACAAATATCAGATGTCTAAAATGCACCATCAAACCAAAGATGACAGCCTTACAAGTCAAGTTAGCAAGGCCAAAGTGTGGACAACTTTTCCTCAAATTTCGTGATGTCGATTTTATTTTGGATGATGAATCGTACTTCACTCTTTCCAACACAACTTTGGCTAGGAATGACCGATTTTACTCAGATGATATTCAAAAGACTCCTACTGATGTGAAGAACAAAATGAAGGAAAAATACGAGTCAAAACTACTTGTTTGGGTGGCAGTTTCACCTCGAGGAATGAGTAGTGTCAAATTTTTCAAGTCTGGCCTGGCAATCAATCAATATATTTACCGTGACGAGTGTATACGAAAGAGGTTGATTGCTTTTATTAACAAATACTATAGGGATGGTAAATACGTATTCTGGCCCGATTTAGCTAGCTCCCACTATGCAAACTCAGTCCACGCCGACCTCAGAGACAAAAAAGTCAATTTTGTACAAAAACAAGACAACCCAGCAAACGTCCCGAAAGTCAGGCCAATTGAGGATTTTTGGGGATTTTTGAAGCAGAAAGTGTATGAGAAGGCCTGGCAGGCTAAAACTATCACTCAACTCAAAGCTAGAGTCAGTCTTTGCCTTCGTAATTTGGACAAAGACCTTATACACCGCACCTTCAGCTCGGTACACAAAAGACTCGATTTTGTCAGAAGGAATGGAATCGAAAAACTTTAAAAGACATTTTTTCTAACACTTAAAATTGTTGTTTATAAAATGCAAAAAACTTTTTTAAAAAAATTGTAAAATGACTGAGATATCTTGTTTTAAAAGTTTGGCAAAAATTTTAGTTGTGACCCGTTATTTTAAAAATAAACTTTTTTTATGGGGACAAAATATTTAAATGAATTATTATATTTTTTTTAATTTAAACTTTAAATAAAAAAATACGTTAAAATAAATTTTAATTATTTCATGCAAAATTCAGTATGATTTGAAATCCAGTATGATTTGAAGCATGAAATTCTTTCTGTTTGAGTAAGGGTAGAGTGAAATTAATTTTCTTTAATCTATAGGAGTTTAATCTATAAGCGAAAAAATAATAAATTTCCTTTTTTTATTTCTTTTTAATAAGAATTAATTAGAAAATCATTTTCATAAGTTATTTAAGTTATTTCTCTAAGTTAGACTCTAAGTTTATTATATGTTTTTTTAATAATATTTTTTTATTTAATTTGACATTAGGTTTAAATTTTTTTATAATTTGATATTATTATATATATTTTTTACTTGACATTAAGTTGACCATAACACATATAGCTGACATAACATATTATACAAAGGATTATATTCTTCCAGGTGTATTTATTAGGTGGAATTCCATATATTTCTTTTAGCTTTTAGTTTTTCCAGATTTCCAAGAAGTTTTTCTAAAAATAAAAACTTAAATATATATTTCTGCAAGGTATATGTTTTTAAACTTTTTCAGTCATTACCCATACAAAAAAGATTAACATTTTAAAAAAAGTTTAGGAAGCCATCAGTATAAAGCTAAATTAGAACAAATATGAGGGCAATGAATTCAAGATTTTTTTTTTTTTTGCAAAGTGTTTTTCTGATTTTTTAATTGTGACCTAGATGATCTCTGATTATGTAATTACATTATGTTGATTACGTAATGTTGATTATAAAGTTGATTAGACATTAGCTGATTGATTTGACATTAAGCTGATTTCAAAACTATTTCTTATTAAGTTTTGATGTTTTTAAACAAATTTAATTATGCAAGTAGGTGGTGGCAGTGAGAATTAACTTTGACAAATTATAAGAAAATGCATGTCCTCTAAAATTACCTCATGTTTTTGAAAATCTTTTTTAGTATTTATATATTTGTTTGTGATTTAATTAATTTCAGGCATTTCGAGTGTTAAATCTGTTCCAATTAAAGCATTTTTAACTGAGAAAAAGAACAGGGTCAGAGTTTTCAATGGAAAGTTGAACCATAAAACAAACTTAGAAATTCCTTTAACAGCTATAGAAAGCATTACAGAAGTCTTGCTGGATGTCTTAGAGGTTTATTTTACTTGTTTTTTCTTTTTCATTTTTGTTTTTTGGAGAAAATTTTTGGGAAAATTTTTAATAACTTTTATAACTTTGTATGATTTCATTTAATAAAGATTTGATAAGTTAAGAATTGCATGTAAATCCTAATTAGTTTAATCTAAAAATTAGAAATTACATGCAGCATGTTTATTTACATTGATTGATAATACTGGATTGTAATACATATATATCTACTTATTTTGTTTTATTCATTTTATAATTGTTATTTAGTCATGCATAAATGACTGCAACAATGATGCATTACTTAAAAGATGGCAGACATTGTGCTTTAGGTAGTTTATTATTTATATTTAATTATGACTTTTTTTTAATTGTAAAAAATTCACAAAAATTAAAATCTTTTATTTATACACTGATATTTTATTAATTTTTAAATAAATAATATTAAAAATACTATTTACAACTTTTTATTTCAAACAAAAAGCCATTGTATAAATCATAATCCTGCTATTCAACCAAGATGTGTTGTTGCAATGGGCTACATCATGAAAGTTGTACATAATGAAAATGTCACTCAGATGTTAGAAGTTCTTGCCAAGGTATGAAATACTATCTAATAATGTATATGTATAAAAAATAATGTACGATAATGTATGTACGCAACAATTGTTACGATAGGCTTGTGGAATTTACATGGATTATCAACTTATTGAAAGTTTAGTAATGTGTTTGGCTAAATACCAGCTGGCTTTACCAAAGGTTTTTTTAATATTAATTTTTTTATATTTTATATTATGTTACTTTTTATATTTTAGATTAAATAAATAAAAAATTGCCAAGATTAAACTTATTGATATTTTTTGTAGATATTTTACAGAACATAACTTCATAGTTGTTCTGTATTTTACCAAACATAACTTCATAGTTTTTCTGATTTTACCAAACATAATAAACTTCATAGTTTTTCTGTATTTTACCAAACATAATAAACTTCATAGTTTTTCTGTATTTTACCAAACATAATAAACTTCATAGTTTTTCTGTATTTTACCAAACATAATAAACTTCATAGTTTTTCCGTATTTTACCAAACATAATAAACTTCATAGTTTTTCTGTATTTTACCAAACATAATAAACTTCATAGTTTTTCTGTATTTTACCAAACATAATAAACTTCATAGTTTTTCTGTATTTTACCAAACATAATAAACTTCATAGTTTTTCTGTATTTTACCAAACATAATAAACTTCATAGTTTTTCCGTAATTTACCAAACATAATAAACTTCATAGTTTTTCTGTAATATACCAAACATAATAAACTTCATAGTTTTTCGGTATTTTACCAAACATAATAAACTTCATAGTTTTTCTGTAATTTACCAAACATAATAAACTTCATAGTTTTTCTGTATTTTACCAAACATAATAAACTTCATAGTTTTTCTGTATTTTACCAAACATAATAAACTTCATAGTTTTTCTGTATTTTACCAAACATAATAAACTTCATAGTTTTTCTGTAAGAAAAATAAGTTGTACAACAGTTTAAAAAATAAAAAAGTAACACCAGAAGGAAAAAAAGTAAATTAAAAAAAGTATAATTATAGCAATAACACTATAAAGTGTTGAGAAGAATAAATGGAAGAATACCCTAAATGATACCCATTATAAAACATTATCTATGTTAAAAACTTAATTTTTTTAACAAAAACCATGAAATAAATTGTAATTAGTTAAATGAAAAAATCTAGTTATTTGCTTTTTTTTGTGGTCATGATCTGATCAAAGAATGCCACCTATGCTATAAAAAAAAGCCACCTATATTATATTTGTTTTTACCATGAAAGTGCAAATATAAACATTGTATTACTGTAGTGACAAAAGTAAGAACAAAATCACATAATGTTAAGTTTTGAGTCGAAAGTATTTCTTGCTAAAACACATGATGTGCACAAAATACATGATGTGCAGAAAACACACAATGTGCACAAAATACATTTATGTCTTGTGTAATAAAATATTTATAGAAACTTACTAAACTTTCAATTACTCTTATAAGCTTCTAAACTTTAAATGGTAAATGAAAAATAGTAAAGGATTTAAGTCACTTGTTGCTTTTTTAAACAATTCGTCTTCAACACATTTTTGTACTGTTTTGGTGTTGTTGTTGTTGCAGTTAAAAAAATCAAAAATTTTAAGGACTTGGTGATTATTAAATAAAACATCACACTATCAATTTGGATGATATTAAATGAAAATTTCTTTGAAGATACTGTTTGTTCCAACATATTAAATAAAATTTTATCAACTTATCAACATATGTGACCTAAGATATATTATTTATTGCATAAAGTACTTGTCAGTTGATGTCAGCATAGTTCCTTGTCGTTTCACTTCTGGAATGAAAAAATCTTAGGAGAATGGTTGACATCCTTCAATTTGTAGGAGTTTTAACCTCTTATAAAAAAACTTTATACTTCATTCAACAAAGTTTATGCCATAGAGAAGAGATATAGTATTTCTACTTTCCTATATTTTAGTATTTTAATATTACACATTATTGTGTGATTCAGTTACAATACATTTAAATACCATTCAGTTACAATACAGATGCCATTCAGATACCATCAGTTACCATTCAGATACCATCAGTTGCCATTCAGATACTATCAATTACCATTCAGATATCATCAGATACCATTCAAGTACTATGATATTTTAAAAACTCTGATGTTTAAAAGCGCTAAATGTTAAAATGTTAGAGATATCAAAAGATTGGAATGTTGTTATCTACAAAAGGTTGATTGGAATGTAGTCATCTACCAAAGGTTGATTGGAATGTAGTCATCTACAAAAGGTTGATTGGAGTGTATTCATCTACAAAAGATTGATTGAAATGTAGTCATCTAAAAAAGGTTGATTGAAATGTAGTCATCTACAAAAACTTTTATATTTATTCTGACTGAGGCTGTTGATGGGTACCTGAGCACCCGGGTTACCAACCCATTGGTTACTTCCCGGGTATCATTATCAAGTAAGAGGCAAACATCATTGGTGAGTTTTAAATTCATTTTACTTATTTTTAAACTTCAAAACCATCATAATATGGTAATATAACAGTTTAACAATATTAACTTGGTGTGTGAAAAAAGATCTTGAAGGTGTTAAAAATTTCAATAGTTACAATTTTTTAATCACCATCAGAAGTTCTGAAAACATTCAATAAAACGTTCAGATTGCTATTTGATTTCAAAATGTTAGTTTAAGGAATAATAAGTAAAAGTTAAGAAATAATAAGTAGGAGGTAAAAGTATATTATTCCTTAATGATTACTACCCCTTGTAAATTTTTTTTTTTTTTTACATAAAACAGAAATTATCCAACTTACCAATTAATTTATCTCTCTAGACAAAAAACTTTCAAAGCCTGATAGATAAAAGATATAATTATGCTATTTTAGCATGCAAGAACATGTGCATACCTGCAATTTCAGTGTCATCAGAGTACACTTTCTAGACTGCTGGGCACGTGGTCAATCAACATCATGCATCTTTTGCACCTGAAACAGTGGATAGAATTATTAAATCGTAATTGGGACTTGTAACCTGGACATTTAAAGTAAAATAAAATTAATACATAAGTACAAAAGAACATTTCCAAATAAATAATGTTTTTGAACTAAATATTTTTATTGGGTGTTCATAAAAACCACTTTTATAAAAATTAAAAAAATTTAACAGATACCTGAATACCTGCCAATTTCTTCAAAGGATACGCGGACATTTTTACAATTTTGACAGTATTACTTCTGACACAGTTCAAAATGTTGACACATTGTAGTATGGCAACAAGTTGGTTTTAGATTAACTAAGATAAACTAAATTTTTAAAGAGTTTGATTCCTCTTTTCTCCAAAGGTCATTAACCCTATACCAATGATCAACCAAACTTCTTTATCAAAGTTTAATTCAAACTTTATTGAAAGTCATGGCAGTAACGGCTCAATTTTATTTAAAAAATAAAAATTTGTTGCAAAATTTTTGTAGATCAGAGTTTAAGAGGTTTTTATTTTTTGGTTTAAGTTAGTTTGGTTTTAAGTATGTAAATTAGAGTTCTAACTTCTGGTATGTAAATTAGAAATTTAACTTCATATCTGTAAATTAAAATTGTAATTGTAAATTAAAGTTCTGATATGTTTGGTATATGCAACTTACATAAAAGTAATTTGAATCATTTAAATTATTGAAAATATTTTTTTTGTTGAATAATTGCATATAAAAATTTTTTAATTGAACTATTTCTGTAATATAAAACTATTTTTATGTAGGAGTCTCAGTATCATAAAGTTTTATTCTGGGTTGCTATTGGAGTATTGCAGGTATTGTTAATTTTTTTAGCTTTTATATATCTCTCTATATATATATGTATGTATGTATGGATGTATGTATGTATAATTGCTTGTAAACTTAAAAACAAATGTGAAATTATTTTTTATTCTTTTTTATATTTCTTCTGATTGAAGACAAATATATATATATATATATATATATATATATATATATATATATATATATATATATATATATATATATATATATATATATATATATATATATAGAAAGGCAAATTTAAGGCAGAAATTTTTGTCTTCCTTCAGAAGAAATATATAAAAAAATAAAAAATAATTTCACATTTGTTTTTAAGTTTACAAGCAATTACAATATTAATTAGGAACCAACGTTAAAAATTTTAAAATGTTATTTTCAAAATGTTAAAAATTTGACATTAAAGTTGCATTTTTTTCCTAAATTTTTCATTCATTTTATTATATACAATAACGTTATATTCTTATTTTTAATAATTAGATATTGTAAAAAAAAATCATTTAATATTCATTAAAAATTTTTAACCTTGTATTTTGTTAATAATTTTGACAAATTACAAAAACAAAGAAATTATAATCTATAAAACGCTAAAAAGTATTGATCTTAAATGTTTAAAAGTTCAAAACATTAAAAAATTTTAAGCGTTAAAAATTTTTAATGTTAAAAAGTTTAAAACGTTAGAAGTTTAAAACTATGAAAAGTTTAAATTTGAGTTTCAAAACTTTCAAAACTTTTTAAACTTAATTCAAACTTTTTTAAACATTTAAATGTTTAAGATTTTAAAATTTTAAAACATTTAAAAGTTTAAATAGAGTATTTAAAAGTATTTTAAAATGGTAATGCTACCTTATAAGGAAAATTGTGTGACGCAAGGAGCTACACCATCTTTAATTCAGAATTGCTTCTGATTTATTATTTTTCAATGTTAATTTTATTTGCTGTAGCCATTCAAAATGTTTAGAAAATTTTCTTGTCGAAAGTTTGTTGTTTTTATTGTTCACTTTTCTAAAGTTTTGACTCATTCATTTATTAGGAATCCCCAATTTACATGGCAGGTGAGATATAATCTATTTATTATATTTCACACTGAATAGCTTAGAACGTTATATGACCTAAAATAAATCTAATATAATGCCATTTTAATATAAACCATATTAAAAACCACTTAAAGGTAATCCAAAGATGAGGTCAATAGAAATGATTCTAATATTTTTAAAGTTTCATTAAAAGTAGCGTCCAAAGTTTGCCCCATATTTTATACTGTTTGCCCTGTTAAAAAATACTCCATACTGTTTTTTTTTTTTTAAATATTTAATATTTTGACTCTCTTGTTTATTAAAATCTCCATGTTTGTTAGATTTTATAGTAATATTTCTGACCCTCTTGTTTATTAAGATCCCCTGTTTATTTAACATGTGAGATTATAAATTTATTTGTTATATTTCGAACTGAACAGCTTAGACTTTCATCATAAGTAAAAGAGTGCTAATATAAAAGCTGCTTCAACATAAAATTTATATAATTGGTCCATTTACCATCATACTTTCCAACATAAAATTTATATAATTGCTCCATTTACCATCATACTTTACATAAAGCTTAAGCTTTTGTAGACAAGTTCTCACATAAGATGTTACTTTTTTTATAAAAATTATTCTCATTACTTATTGTCAATGATATCTTCTGTAACTGATAAAGATTGTGTAATAATAAACTATGTAGTTGATATATATATATATATATATATATATATATATATATATATATATATATATATATATATATATATATATATATATATATATATATATATATATATATATCCATATAATCACAATAACATAGTCATTATACAATTTACTATCAATTAAGATTAGTTTAAAATCCTATGCACTTATAGTTGTATATAGTTACAATAAGAAACTGTTTGATATATTTATAACAAATTGCTTCTAGTTTAGGATATTGAAAGCTGGATCTTCTTGACTCATTGCATGGGTTTTGCTTGTGTCTCTGATTTTAGTGTCTCTGATTTGAGCCAGGCAACTCGTTCTATTATTTCCTAATGAGGGTACAGCTCTAAAACTCAGTTTTATTGTTCTGAGACTAACTGCTTTTCAGGCTTAATTCTGTGTAGCTCTCAGAGACGCTGATTCCATCAACAGCTGTTAAAATATCAGAGTGCTAACTGTGCCATGTTGCACATATATGGATTCCCTGTTCATACTTTTGGTGTGCATTATAGAGGACACATTTAGAGTTTTTTGTTAGGGCTTAGGGTTTATTAATAGTAATAAAGCAGTTGCTTAGACTATATGATGCACTGAATGCTATCTGTGCTTTGAGTCAATTTTTTTAACAAAGTTAAAAAATGACTAAAGTATTAAAAACACAAAAAAAGTATATAAAACACAAAAAGACATTATCACCAAGTTTTCTAAATATATCATTCACTAATAGTCATGATTTTCAAAGTACCTTTTCTTCTCTTTAGTTTTATCTCTTGCAAAGTTTTTGTTTTGATCAAATTGACTAAACCTTACTCTTTACCCGATATCATTGTTGTTGGTGACTTTTATGCTCATTAAACTGAATTGCTTAGCTCTAGTGTCAGTAACTCTGTAGGCATCAAGGCCCACAACTTCTGATCTCTCTAAAACTATTATCTAAATCTTCTTCATCATCAGAATACCATTTGTTATCAGAATAATAAATGTTGTACCTCTTACAACTATCTTATCTTAAAGCGTAATTTTCTTTGTGATTAGTCCTTAGAGAAAGTAGAAATCTTTTTTTAACGGTAATAATCAATATGCTTAATCATGTATCAGATAGATGAGGCTATCGCTCTTGTCATTTCTAAAGTCTTTGATAAAGTTTGGTATGCTAGTCTTCTCCATAAGCTTTCTTTTTATTGTGTATAGAGTAACATCTTTTAAACTTTAAAGATGTTACTTTTTTTTATTTATATTAATGATCTCCCAGGTGTTCTGACATCTAAGGTGGCATTGTTCGCTTATGATACTACTATTTATTCTTGCCTTGATAAGAAGCGAACACAATCTGATTGCTTTGAGGGAATATTTGAGTTTGAAAAAGATTTCATTTCTGCTACAGCATCGGCTCTCAGTGACTGATGAACTTTAACTCAGATAAAACTTATTTTTTTTTAGCTAATTGTTATTGCATTAATCTAGATCTTCCTATATTTATGAATGGTAATGTACTTGATAGGTATCTACCCTTCGTCTTCTAGGATTAACCCTTACTTCTAATCTTTTTTGGAAACCATATACTAAATCCATTGCAGAATTAGTATCTGCTAAGGTTGCATCTCTATATTGTGTTTGCCACTTTCTTACTAAGGACTCTATTCTTTATCTCTGTAAATCTCAAATCTGTCCTTGTATGCAACACTGTTGCCATATCTGGGGCAGATCTTTGAATGATGCTTTTTTTTCATTTGGGCAAGGTGCAAAAATGCATTGTAAACATAGTTGGACCTGCTCTTGCAGCCAACCTTCAACTATTGTCACATCATCGTAATGTTGCTTCTCTTTCTCTTTTCTATAAATACTATAATAGGCTCTGCTCTAAAGAGCTAGTGTCTTTTATTCCATATGCTAAAGCTCATTCTTGTGTTACTTGTCATTCAAATAAGTCTCATCCTTTAACAGTGACTGTTCCAAAGAGCTCTATAAATTCTTATTTATTCAGGTTTTTTTCCTCAAATATCAGTTCTTTGGAATTTGCTTTCTTTATTATTTTTTTTTAGATTCATATAATTTGCAATCTTTTAATTCGTCTCTCAATTGTTATCTTGCTCTATAAACTTCATCTTTTCTTTTCCATTAACTTCCAAATCTAATAATGGTTGCTTGCAACCTTTTGGAAGTGAAGTTGTTGGATGTTTAGAAAAAAAAAAGATTTTGCCTCCAAAACTTTGTTTTAAAGCCGCTACTAATAGCTTTTACCTTCCTAATGGTGTCAGCTTCCAAAATATTTTGCCTGTTTGGTTGTATTTGCCAATAAAAAAGTGAAAGCCATTGGAGACAGAAGAAAGAGCATTTTGACGCTAAAATTTTTTTGGGAGGCAGCAGGAAGAAAAGTGGAAACAAGAAGATTTGCACCATTTATCAACACTGTTTAGATTTTTGTTACATTTAAATCACCAATTCGAATTCAAAAATTAATTGTGATTGATATTTATAAATCTTAGTATACTTTATTTACTGTCTAATGGCTCTGCAAATTATCTAAGGTTTTGTATTTTTTATTTAGCAAACATTTCTTTCTTTTAGACCTGTGATGAACACTTTTTTATTATTTTTGAAAGTATTTTTGATTATTGTTAATTTTATTGTTTTCAGTTTGGGGAGCAGTGTTTGTATCCTCCTGCTCTTTCTTTGTTGGAAAACAATTTGAGTGTTTGTCATGGTTTTAATATATATGCAGAAAAGGTTGGTTTTTAATTAAAAAACATTCACTTTACATTGATTAACATTAATGTAAGTTTGATGTTAATTTTGCTATGTTAATATAAATCAACATGATTTAGGGTATAGAAATGGAATTAATGGAGTATCGAAATGATTCTTCATTTCATTGGATTTTCAAACAGCTTGACCATTTGGTTGGATTGAGTTTTTCTACTGATTTTCACTTTGCATTAGTTGCTCTTTTAGTTAAAGGTTTTTAATATGTTTTGTTTATTTTGACTTTTTTTTTTCTTTTTTTACCAATCATTTAATTAATGTTTTAAAAATTATTTTGCAAAAGTAAAACGATGTTAACAAAATATTTATTTAAATAAGAATTTAATTAGTTTAACAATTATAAAATATTCAAATGTTATTTTTTATGTAAAGTATACTACTCACATACTTATGTGAGTAGTATACTTTACATAAAAAATAAGTATTAGCAAAATTTCTTGAAAACAAAAATTGGTATGGATGTGGAAGATTATATATGTGAAACCAAACACATTTTTATAAAAAATATTAAAAATATATATAAAACTGATTTGGGTTTCAACATTTAAAATTTGACAAAATTGGGAATAATTGTGCAAACATACACTTCACACTTGAATGTAACATGTTGCAAAAATTGGCTAAAATGTAAAAAATTAATATAAATGTAAAAGTTTAAATTTTTTTAAATGTCACCCATAAAGTATGGGTCTGATAGAGGCACTAAAAGAAACTAGCTCTCAGATCAATCCATGGTAAAAGAGGTGTAAATTTTAAAGAATTTTCAGCATTAATCAAATAAAAAAACACAAGAGTTTTTTAATTATCAATGAATTTATCATTTGCTTGGGATAATTTAATTGGTTTTGTTAACATTTCTGTGATTTTCTTTTCTACTCTAATCTTTTAGTAAGAATAAAGTTTTGCTTTTTTTTTAAACCATAAACTAGCTCAGATGCTTTGGTAACAGACTTTTACAGCACTTTCAACAGGTTGAGAGTTATTTGAAAGATATGTAAGTGGCAAAACTACTTCAGTTTCTTTTGTGTTCATCACATCAACAGATGAAAAAACTAATTGTAGAAGGAGGTTCCCTCTCAATTTGACATTCTTCTACTAGTTGACATACTATTAATACCTATTTGACATACTTTGATACCCATTTTTTTTGCAAACCAGATGCTAAATATTTTAGATTTTTATCAATTTTTTTTAATTTACTAGTTTTTTATTCAAAAAACAAAGTTCAAACAAGCATTCAAAGTTGCATTTACTTTGAATACTGTTAAACTGAATGAACACTTGCATTTACTTTGAATACTGTTAAACTGAATGCCATTTTTAATTGTTTTATTCTAAAAAGTTGTTTAGATTTTTTTGTTTGTTTTAAAATAATTTTTAAATAGATCTAATAAGAGCACTTAGACAATAAACATACAAGTTATATTCAATAAACATACAAGTTATATTCAATAAACATACAAGTTATATTCAATAAACATACAAGTTATATTCAATAAACATACAAGTTATATTCAATAAACATACAAGTTATATTCAATAAACATACAAGTTATATTCAATAAACATACAAGTTATATTCAATAAACATACAAGTTATATTCAATAAACATACAAGTTATATTCAATAAACATACAAGTTATATTCAATAAACATACAAGTTATATTCAATAAACATACAAGTTATATTCAATAAACATACAAGTTATATTCAATAAACATACAAGTTATATTCAATAAACATACAAGTTATATTCAATAAACATACAAGTTATATTCAATAAACATACAAGTTATATTCAATAAACATACAAGTTATATTCAATAAACATACAAGTTATATTCAATAAACATACAAGTTATATTCAATAAACATACAAGTTATATTCAATAAACATACAAGTTATATTCAATAAACATACAAGTTATATTCAATAAACATACAAGTTATATTCAATAAACATACAAGTTATATTCAATAAACATACAAGTTATATTCAATAAACATACAAGTTATATTCAATAAACATACAAGTTATATTCAATAAACATACAAGTTATATTCAATAAACATACAAGTTATATTCAATAAACATACAAGTTATATTCAATAAACATACAAGTTATATTCAATAAACATACAAGTTATATTCAATAAACATACAAGTTATATTCAATAAACATACAAGTTATATTCAATAAACATACAAGTTATATTCAATAAACATACAAGTTATATTCAATAAACATACAAGTTATATTCAATAAACATACAAGTTATATTCAATAAACATACAAGTTATATTCAATAAACATACAAGTTATATTCAATAAACATACAAGTTATATTCAATAAACATACAAGTTATATTCAATAAACATACAAGTTATATTCAATAAACATACAAGTTATATTCAATAAACATACAAGTTATATTCAATAAACATACAAGTTATATTCAATAAACATACAAGTTATATTCAATAAACATACAAGTTATATTCAATAAACATACAAGTTATATTCAATAAACATACAAGTTATATTCAATAAACATACAAGTTATATTCAATAAACATACAAGTTATATTCAATAAACATACAAGTTATATTCAATAAACATACAAGTTATATTCAATAAACATACAAGTTGTATTCAATAAACATACAAGTTCAATATTCAATAAACATACAAGTTATATTCAATAAACATACAAGTTATATTCAATAAACATACAAGTTATATTCAATAAACATACAAGTTATATTCAATAAACATACAAGTTATATTCAATAAACATACAAGTTATATTCAATAAACATACAAGTTATATTCAATAAATATACAAGTTGTATTCAATAAACATACAAGTTCAATATTCAATAAACATACAAGTTATATTCAATAAACATACAAGTTATATTCAATAAACATACAAGTTGTATTCAATAAACATACAAATTCAATATTCAATAAACATACAAGTTATATTCAATAAACATACAAGTTATATTCAATAAACATACAAGTTATATTCAATAAACATACAAGTTATATTCAATAAACATACAAGTTATATTCAATAAACATACAAGTTGTATTCAATAAACATGCAAGTTCAATATTCAATAAACATACAAGTTATATTCAATAAACATACAAGTTATATTCAATAAACATACAAGTTATATTCAATAAACATACAAGTTATATTCAATAAACATACAAGTTATATTCAATAAACATACAAGTTGTATTCAATAAACATACAAGTTCAATATTCAATAAACATACAAGTTATATTCAATAAACATACAAGTTATATTCAATAAACATACAAGTTATATTCAATAAACATACAAGTTATATTCAATAAACATACAAGTTATATTCAATAAACATACAAGTTATATTCAATAAACATACAAGTTGTATTCAATAAACATACAAGTTCAATATTCAATAAACATACAAGTTATATTCAATAAACATACAAGTTATATTCAATAAACATACAAGTTATATTCAATAAACATACAAGTTATATTCAATAAACATACAAGTTATATTCAATAAACATACAAGTTATATTCAATAAACATACAAGTTGTATTCAATAAACATGCAAGTTCAATATTCAATAAACATACAAGTTATATTCAATAAACATACAAGTTATATTCAATAAACATACAAGTTATATTCAATAAACATACAAGTTATATTCAATAAACATACAAGTTATATTCAATAAACATACAAGCATACAAGTTATATTCAATAAACATACAAGTTATATTCAATAAACATACAAGTTATATTCAATAAACATTCAAGTTATATTCAATAAACATACAAGTTATATTCAATAAACATACAAGTTATATTCAATAAACATACAAGTTATATTCAATAAACATACAAGTTATATTCAATAAACATACAAGTTATATTCAATAAACATACAAGTTATATTCAATAAACATACAAGTTATATTCAATAAACATACAAGTTATATTCAATAAACATACAAGTTATATTCAATAAACATACAAGTTATATTCAATAAACATACAAGTTATATTCAATAAACATACAAGTTATATTCAATAAACATACAAGTTATATTCAATAAACATACAAGTTATATTCAATAAACATACAAGTTATATTCAATAAACATACAAGTTATATTCAATAAACATACAAGTTATATTCAATAAACATACAAGTTATATTCAATAAACATACAAGTTATATTCAATAAACATACAAGTTATATTCAATAAACATACAAGTTGTATTCAATAAACATACAAGTTCAATATTCAATAAACATACAAGTTATATTCAATAAACATACAAGTTATATTCAATAAACATACAAGTTATATTCAATAAACATACAAGTTATATTCAATAAACATACAAGTTATATTCAATAAACATACAAGTTATATTCAATTAAATAAAGCAAATCACTAAATAAACTTGTTAATCAAATTTTAAGATTATAAATAAAAAAGTTTTATAAAAAAGGCATATAACTCTCTACTCATAAACATTATTTACAATAAAAAATAATAAAGTGTATAAAGTTTACAAAAAATCGAATTTATAATATCTTAATGTGAATAAAATTAATTTCCCCTCTCTGCAAACAACATGTCATCTTTTATTGTATACACACCCTCATCAATTGAGAAGGACTTGTTTGGAATGTTTTCAAAAAGTTTATAAGTAATTTCAATTTTTTTTTTGCATGGCCAAGTTCCCTTGTACTTGATGAAACAAAATGAATTTTCAACAAGCTGTTGGTTTCTGGTGTTAGTAGATGTCATAAGTACACTATTCTGAGACCATTTTTTCAATGTTATCATTTATCTCTTTCAACTTGAAAAATCACAATCAACTTGGGTTTGTTCATACATCACAAGTCAACATAAGTTGAGTCACAATAAGCTCTCTTAATCATGAAAGCATTGTACATTGTAATTGTTTACTTGTTCTAAAAAAAGTTTTTATACCTAAGTAAAACTTCAATAAAATGCTCATTGTCCCAATTACTTGATAAACATCAATATATATTTAAAAAAATTATCCAACATTAAGTTACACATCAATGTTTCACATTATACCCACAATATACATGTTATCTGGCATCACTTCATTTAATTTGTTCTCTAGGTTTTGAATAACTAAAAAATTGTTAAATAAGACAATCCAGTACATATTTCTTTGAAATACTATAAGGCACTTTTTCTTGGAACAACAGATATCTGTCAAGATAAAGTTAATTCCATTTGCAACCTGGTTTACAATCACACCATATTCAAATCTTTAAACTATTGTCTTGTTTTTTTGTATCATTCTCTGGATAGATTTTAAAAAAACTTTCAAGTCATTATTGATAAATGGCATTCCTTTTATACTTATGCAAAGTAAGTGATTTTTAAAACAATATTTCTAATCAATACTAAAGACAATATGGGGCCCTACTGATTTACAGTGTTCTTGTTTTTTTTTTTAATTTATAGAATAATGTTGTTTTAAAGCCTTGACAATCAACATATTTTCTAATTTAATTTTTGCTAATTGTCTCTTGAAGAGTAGAATTTAAGTAATTGGATTTAGTACAATGTTTTCTTGTGCCAGGATCTTTTAGACGGCTTGAGACAGCTATTATTTGTCGTCTCAAAGATAAATACAGTTAAATGTCTTATAGTTATGTGAACTTAAACGTCTTTAAGGTGTTAACATTTTATATTCTAAAAAGACGTGTTTGTGCTGGCTAGGTATTAACAACAGTAAATGTAGGTTACTACAATAAAAAGATGTCTATTACTTATTATGCAAAATGTCATCTAAAACTTTATATTGAATTTTAATAATATTCTTTTTTTTTTTTGGCTATTAAGGTATTTGCAGTAAAAATATTTTGTAAAACAGCAACCCCTCGTCCTTATCATACACCTTTTCCTACCTTCTTGTTATTTTATAGAAGAGAAAAATAATAAAAAATATGTTCCAGGTACTTTGAAAATAATATTTTTCAGGATTTTAAAAGTATACCCTGGATCATCCCTACTAAGTATATATACATATGAACCGCTAACTTGAAAACGGAGACATGTTATGAGAATTTTTGGAGGACATGTTTCCTTTTTCAAGTTGGCGATTCGTATATACAAGCAGGGGTGTGGAGTCTTAAAAAAAAATAACCACTCGGACTCCAGTTGTTAAAGGTTTTTGAGTACGACTCCGACACCAACTCTGACTCCGAGTAAAACTCCAAAGCAAAATTTTTGAAAAATTCTTTGAATTCTTTAAAATAATTATGCAATAAGTTAAAAAAAAATTTTTGACAAAATATGAAATGTTCTTTGAAGTTTAGTATGAAGATAAGGTTAATTTAACGTTTTGTACATGCACCTGCAATACCGAGAAGTTTTACTATTGGAGTCGGAGTTGCGATTTTGTTTAGTGACTCCGACTCCGCTAAAAATACCGCAACTTTGACTCTGGCTCCACAGCCCTGTATACAATTATATATACAGGGCCTATTTTAGGAAAAAAAAAAGAAAAGATCCTCTAATTTTAATTTGAAAAAAATACAGTTGACACTGTCAAAAATGGTCTAGATTAGGTCCTGATATGCTATATATATATGCAAATATACAATATGTGTATATATATATATATATATATATATATATATATATATATATATATATATATATATATATATATGCTATGTGTATATATATATATATATATATATATATATATATATATGCTATGTGTATATATATATATATATATATATATATATATATATATATATATATATATATATGTGTATATATATATATATATGTTATGTATATATATACAAATATGCAATATGCATATATAATTGTGTATATGTATATGTATAATAATTACTTGCATATACAACCCTCAGAATTAGGGTCAGCATTCGGCAATGCTGACCTAACTGCTGACCTGAAACTGCTTGAGGTCGGCTTAAATTGCCTACCTCGTTTCTATGTTTTATGGTCAGACCTTTGTATCAAATAATTTATGCCAATCTTATGCCGATCTCAAAAAGATTGAGGTTGGCAAATTATTGCCGACCTTCTTTTTCCTAATTCTGAGGGTTGCATATATATACATAGCATGTATACTTGAATATATGTATATATACATATATTTAAGTATACATGCTATATATATATATATGCAAGTAATTAGTATACATATACATATATGCAATATGCATATATACTTGCATATGCATATATACTTATATGCATATATGCAATATGCTTATATACTTGTGTATATGTATATGTATACTAATTACTTGCGTATATATACATAGCATGTATACTTGAATATATGTATATATACATACCAATGGCAAAGGCTGATTGAGGCTAATGATAGGGTTTAATGTATGTAAATAAAGGTAATATATTAATATTAGGTACGCAACTTGCATACATAAGGTGTACCTATGCCCCACTTTAGTTTATGTCAATGCATTTGCCAATGCCAATTAATTGACCAATGCCATCGGCCAATTAATCGGCTAATGGTTAAGCGGATTTATTAGTTGCTGGCTACCAAATGCATAGGCTAGTAGACCGATTCACTGCTGATGTATTGGTACATATTATATATAACCTATTATTAGCCACAATAGGCCTTTGCCATCGGCACATCACAAATGCTGTATATGTGCAAGTATGTAAAATGTGCATGCATAATGTTCAGTAAATAAAAAAAAACGGTCACATAAAAAATGAAAGTTAAAAAAAATTTATTATCATAAAAATAAATTTTATTTACAGGAATTCGTCATCCCTCATCAAAAACAAAATCAACTGCATTGCGTATCGTCAACACAATGTTGTATATATGCAGCAACAAAGATGTTAAAGTGTAAGTAATTCTCCGTTATTGTTTGATATTTAAAAAAGGATTGAAAATACACTACAAAGAATTGTATATGAAACAAATTAATAACTGACTGAATTTATCAAATATTTTTGTTATCAAACCTGGTTTTAGCCATTTACTATAAGATGATATATATATATATATATATATATATATATATATATATATATATATATATATATATATATATATATATATATATATATATATATATATATATATATATATATATATAATCGTATATATATATATATATATATATATATATATATATATATATATATATATATATATATATATATATATATATATATATATATATACGATTTTAAAATGTATTTTACAAAATATAGTACTCAATGTTCTTAAAAGAACAGAGCAATAATAAATCTACATTTGCGCAATCTAAATTAAATTATTCAGCTTCTTAGAGACAATGAATCCACAAAATTATGTGATGTAAACTTCTACTCTATTCTTCAATTCAAAATCTATAGCCATTTAACAAAACTAATTTATTGAGATAACTGTTGACTTGTCAAGTAATTATAAGTTTCTGGAATCAAAAGAAAATGTAAAAATTTTGATGAGGAAATTAAAAAAACAAATGACAAATTTGCTGAACAACGAAACACATGAATGAAGCACCTATTTGCAAAAGAATTGTTATCAATAGCTAACTCAATCTTAAAGTAACAAGGAAGAAAATGGTAATGGGAAATAAGATTTAATCTACAAAAACTTGGGTAAAATGAAAATTAAGTAATTTCTATAAAAAACATGCAAAAGTTGGACATGATCTATAGAAGTAAATGAAATGTGTCTGTATTTTAAAATTCATAAAAAATGTGATCTAAAAAAGAAAATAAATTGGTTGAAAAAGGATGAGAGATATTATATGAAAAATATTCTCAGATGTTTGAGTTTGGCAACTTAACTTACATTTTGAGTTTGACAACTTAACTTACATCTTACATTTTACATTATTTTAACGTTATTTACTTAGATTATTTTAACACTACATTCTTGCCATGTTAACATGGAAACATAGTTACCATGTTAAATATCTAATTGTTTTTTCAACATTTACAACTGGTTGTTAAACATTACCATGGTAAAGGAAATCATATTATGGAAACAGATCAACAGTTAGTATTGATTTCGCAGGACTATTTCTTGCAATGTTAGGTTGAGGGAAGATCGAACCAAGATAGAAATTGTTGATAACTTAGATAAAAATATAAATTACAAGCTTTACAACTAATAAAGAAATCATATGGCACTTATTTTATTTTCAATTTCTTTTTTTCAATGCCTTTTTTTTCAATTAATATGTTGTAGTGGTAGTGCTCTTGCTTTATAAGCAAGAAGCTTCCAAGTTTAATCCCCATCATGTTCCTGGTAGTATGGCACTTAACTTGTTTCTTTGTGCAGCAGCCTTGTTTGTTAAGGTTTTTTGAATGATGTAGTTTACAATAACAAAAAAATTTATTTTTAATCTCTTTTTAATTAGTCTATTAATAGTTTTTAAGTAATATTTTTTCAATTTCTTTCTTTTCAGTTATTCACTTTTCAATTCCTTTCTTTTCAATTATTTATTATTCAATTCCTTTCTTTTCAATTTCTTTCTTTTCAATTAATCTTTGTTTTTAATGATAACAGTTTATTTGATTTGTATTTTAAATATTGATAATGATAATATCATATATACAGTTACCAATTGTAAATATATTTTATTATAAATATTGTATATAAGTTTTTTAAATATATATATATATATATATATATATACATATATATATATAAACATATATATATATATATATATATATATATATATATATATATATATATATATATATATATATGTATATATATATATATATATATATATATATATATATATATATATATATATATATATATATATATATATATATATATATTAGATACAAATAGACTTGTTTATATTACATCTAATAACTGTATATTTATATTTTACATTATTCTGTTGTTTTTTTTTAATAAATATATTTGCACCTTTTTTTTTTTCCCTTATGTTATTGCCCTTCCCAAGGCCAAGTAGCCCACTATAGTTGAGGAAGCTACTTTACTGTGGTAACTTTTTCTCAACTCTTTAACTCCATAACACAAACCTTGAAAAACTAGGCCTTATCATGGAGATTGTTGATTTTTTATATATTTTAATTTTTTTTTTTACTTTTTGTATTATGTTAAACTATTTTGTAGATGTTCATTGTTTCATCTTTTTGTAGATGTTCGTTTTTGTAGATGTTTATTTTTTGTAGATGTTCTTTTTGTAGATGTTCATTTTGTAGATGTTTATTTTTTTATAGCTCGCAGGATAAGATTGAAGTAAATAAAGACACTTTGGCTTACCTTGCAGGTATGATACTTTTTAATATGATATTCTTTTAATAAGAAGCAGTAACAGACTAGCTATAAAACATTCATAGTCATGAGGTTCCATGTTAAAATCTACCCTATGCCTCTAGCATGCTCAACCTGTTTTATTGTGCAACAGCCTTGTTTGACAATAAAACAGGTTGAGCATGCTTTTTTTTTTATAAAATGTTTTTAAAAAAAAGCTTTGTTTTTTATAAAATGTTATTAAAAGTTTAATTCACCTTGTGGAGGTGAATTAAACTTTTAATAACATTTTATACCTTGGTTTTAAATCAGATTAGTTGAATCAATTAGTAGCTCCATAAATTTTTGATTGGGTTTATATTGGGTGATTGTGCTGGCTATAGCATGAGTTTAAAAGTACAATAAAACTGTTAGCAATAAAACAGCAAAAGTGATTATTGTGGTTACAGTGATTGTAATACCCTAGCAATACAACACTAGCAAATTATTATGTGAAAAATCCAAAAGAATGTAAATATCTATCAAAAAAATAAATATATTTATCTGATTAATGAGTATGTAAATATTATTAAGTTATAAGGATTATTAAAACAGATTTAAACTTTGTTTCAAATTGGTAGATTTTAATTACTTTATTAATTTTATCTTCTCTAAAATGCTCTTTTTTTTTTTCTTTTATCATATATACATAATTATATATATATATATATATATATATATGTATATATATATATATATATATATATATATATATATGTATATATATATATATATATATATATATATATATATATATATATATATATATATATACTACTGTGATCAAAAAGTAAGGTGAATTTTTAATTTAAACTTCCCGCCTTATTCGATTCGTCCAATCTTTTTTATTTTTAAGTTGGTAGGAATGTCATTAACATTTGCGCCAAATTACATGTCAAACTCATAATTAATTTTTTTTGTTTACGCTTGTTTCTGAAGTACCAAAAGTGCATTCGGCAATTTTCACAATGTCTAATTTTGTTGAGCAAAGAAGTGCTATTAGATTTTGTTTGCGGAATGATATATCTGCTGCTGAAACGTATCGAATGTTGCAAAAGGCCTTACTAGTGGTAACTAGTAAGGCCTTTTGCAGACCTTTTTTTTGTGGTAATTTTTTTGCAAAAAATGCTTACTAGTGGTACAAAGACTTTAAAGAAGGCTGAGAGCGTGTTGATGACTTAGAGCGCTCCGGACGACCATCGACTTCGATTGATGATCGCCACATCAACAAAATTAAAGAATTGGTGCTTGCAAATCGTCGGTTAACCATTCGAGACCTTGTTGACATGGTTGGAATATAGTTTGGGTCGGTGCAAGCGATTTTGAAGGATCATTTGGGCCTCAGAAGACTCAAATCATGTTTGGTGTCGAAATTTCTCAATTTCTTTGAAAAAGAGCGTCGCGTTAAAGCGTGTGAAGCAATGCTTTCTGACTATCAAGACGTCTACAAACAAATTATTACTGGCGATGAGACTTGGGTCTACGCATACGACCCTGAAACAACCGACCAATCGAGTGAATACCGTGAAAAAGGCGAGCCGAGACCGAAGCAACCACGTCAAAGTCGCTCAAAAATCAAGGTCATGTTGACTGTTTTCTTTGATCATTGTGGTGTCGTGCACTACGAATTTCTTCCAACTGGCCAAACTGTCAACAAGGAATATTATTTAAGCGTTATGCGACGTTTGCGTGAAGCTATTCGCAAAAAGAGACCGGAATTGTGGGCCAATAACTCTTGGATTTTGCACCACGATAATGCGCCTTCGCACACAGCACTGGTACTTCGTGAGTATTTCGCCAAAAACTCTACCCATGTTGCTCCACAACCACCGTATTCGCCCGACTTAGCACCGTGTGACTTCTGGCTGTTCCCAAAGCTCAAGAGACCACTCCGGGGAAATTGTTTTGAGTCCATTAAAGAGATCCAATGTGAATCGGCACGCGCATTGAAGGCTATCCCTACCGAGGACTTTTCAGCATGCTTCGAAGTCTGGAAAAAACGTTGGCAAAAGTGCATTGGGGCCGGGGGGGATTATTTTGAGGGGGACGATACAGATTTGGAAGAATAAATAAAGATTTTTCATTTTATAAAAAAATTCACCTTACTTTTTGATCACAGTAGTATATATATATATATATATATATATATATATATATAAAGAGAGAGAGAGGCTAATAGTAAATGCAAAAAGATTTATTGATTTTAGTTATTTTTAACTTACGGTTTTGTTTCAACATGTTTCAATCCAAATCAACCAATCAAATTGTATTTTTTATTCATAATTGTTGTGTGTAGCATTGATGCCAGTTTCTGAAGAAATTCGATTGAAGCTTTACAATGAGAAACCAACTTATTCTGCTACTTTGACAATAAAACGTAGAAGATCAAAGATATGCATTGATGCATGTAAATCGCAATCAATATCATCTAGACTCTCTTCATCTGGAAGCATTGATATTTTTCTTACCAAGAGAAGACACATATTTGAATCCTCTACTTATAATTCACTACTCGATCCCATGCTTTTGAGAGGTGAAGAACGACAAGCCTTACTTATTGTATTATTGGTATGAAAAGTTAATTATAAATTATACTAATAAATAGTGCATAATATTTTCAAAAAAAAAGTTAAAAATATAAAAGATGAAGGAAAAGGTTTGCACTTATTTTTCCTAGGCAACACTCGTTAATCACACAGTAGATGATTTTGAGGCTAAATCATTATTTGAAGTTTTAGCTGAAGCAAGTGTTTTGTATCCTGAAATTTTTCCTATTTGGTATGTTTTTTCATATTTTATATTATATATTATTTATATATATTTGATTTTATGTTTTTTGTTTTCTTTAAAACTTGAATTTTTTTTTAAGCTTCATTTAAAATTTTAAGCTTTCATAATAAACCTATGTTATGCTTATTATATAAATTTATTTAAATCTTACAATAAATCTTTTACTAATATGTTTAAATTAATTAGAAAATATTTTTTACAATAACTCTTTATTTAGTGTGTTTAAATTGATTACAAAATATTTCTTACAATAACTCTTTTGGTAATATGTTTAAATTAATTATCATGTTTCAAATAAACATGATTTTGTAAGATAATTAAAATTATGGAAATTTAATATTGACACTTGCTAGCACATAAATAAAAACTGTATAATGAAAATATTCACTTTCAGATTTTTTTAAACAATATTAAATAATTTTTTTTTTGGTATTTTTTTGTTTAAAAGTCACTCTATCATCAACCGAAAGCTTTGTAATGTTCTAAGTCATTCAAACGATGCTGTGACTTTATCTGCTGCTCAAACTATTGTCCAATCGATATCTTCGTTGGCTGGCGAGTTACCTACTTTAGGCCTGCAAAAATTAACAAGTGAGTTTGTTTTATTAAATCTAAAATCTAATTATTGTTATCATCATCATCGTCATCATCATCATCATTATCATCATCATTATAATCATCATCAACATCAATTTTATTACTATTATCATTATTAATGTTAATATTATTATTATTAATATTAATAAGTGTTTTTTTACATGTAATAAGTTTTTCTTAGTGGAGGACTTCAAATTTGTTATTTTACTTATTAAAGTTTTATTAATTTTTTTCCTTAAAAAAAATAGGTATTGGCTTCCATGGTCTTCATTCCTTTCCAGGCCCGTTTACTGAGGTAATTTATAAATGTTTCATTTCTGTTAAGTAAGCATTTTATATATATGCAAATCAAAAACCTAGTTTATAACGAGTTAAAAGATAGTAAAAACTCATTTTTATAAAAGTTAAAAACATCAATCATCAACTAAATATACATTTTACATAGCTTCCGGACCGTGTTGTAGCTCCTCAAATGTTTGCACGTTATGTAGATTTAGTGGTAAACAAGAAATCTAATTTAACAACTGATACTCGTTCGGCCGGACAGATATTTGCTCCACCTATATGTAACGGTGACGTCATAGTCAATACTTTTAGTCATTCTCTTACTGCTATTCAAGAGCAACCTAATCATCAGCCTACTCAAACCTCGCCTGGAGCGTTCTCTGTTTTCAAACGTGTCGGATCCTATTCACCAACGAGGCGGCACCGCAATAGTCCTTCTAAATTTGAATCTGTTAAAGAAAAAGTTTCCTCAAATCACTTGGTTCCCTGATCTTGATTTTCCTCCTTTTTTTAAATTGTGATCATTTGGAATCCTAAATTTCTACGTTCACAGGTAAACTTATGAACATCAATTTTACAACAGATTGCTGGCTGTATTTATATTACTTTACCTTGTTAATGAAAATGCAAGCAACCGAAGGTTTCCTAAACTGCGCTAAACAATTTTATAATCTTTTAGTTTATTAAAAAACAGTTAACTTTGCTTTTTCTTTATAATTTTCTTCTTACTCAGCTTCATTTTGTTTTTATCTCTGTGTTATTTGACAGTGTTTGTGATTTAAAATACTTTTTTACAACATTTTATTAAAAAACTTATAAATATTTTATAAATACTTTTGAGTTTTTTTTTAATATATATATATATTTTTTTATCTGTACTACTTATAGCATTTCTACATGTCTTCATTTTTTCAGTTTTATCTATTAATTATGTTTTCTTTTTTTAATTCATATTTTGATGTAACTTTTATTTTTCTATTTTGTTCAAACCATATTTTTCTGCGTTTTTTATTCCGAAAGCTTCCTTTTGCTGCATTTTTTGATTAAAACAAATTTTAGAATTGTTTTCCACTTTAAATTATTTGGCACTCATGTTTTGTAAATATATAAAGATAGGATTTGTACAATTTTGATATAATCTAGTGAAATTAAATTAAAATGGTTTTCAAACTTTGTGTGGCTTTTTATTTCAACCGGTATCATTGGGTAGGGAGTTTATTTTTTTAAAGAAAAGTAAAAGTGTTTTGCATAAAATTGTATTAAATTCGAATTAACAAATTATATATGACGGTTGAATTTTTAAACAGAAGAAATTGATATTTTATTTATTTATTATTAGGACAAAGACTCTATTATTAAATCTTATATTTAAACATATGATTTCAGTATATAAAATAATATCCAAGTAATATAAATTTTGATATTTGTGAATATTTCTATTAGGTACAGTTTCTTAGTTTTGAAATGACTGCCATCTGTAAGTTGGAAATCATTTCAAAACTTACTTAGAAATTGTAAGCCAGTTTTAAAATGACTGTTATCAATAATATTTAAAATTAGAAAAAATGTTGCGTTTAATTTAAACAAAAAAAGTAGCATTTATTGCGCGCAATTATGATTATTACTATATTTATAAAATTTTAATAATTAATTAAGTTGCTTATTAAAAATGTAAAACTGTCAAAAACTATATTTAAGTAAGTTTTCACTAAGCATTACTCAAATTTGTTTCCGGTTTTTAAATGGACAAATTCTTGTAAACTTGATTAAATTAATTTACGTGTTGGTTCCTTTATTTATCCAAAGCAAACCTTAAATGGTCATAATATTTAAATTGCACAACATTTGCTGAAATTGAAAATCTGTTGAAGAATTCCAATCCACGTTAAAAACTATACTTATATATATATATATATATATATATATATATATATATATATATATATATATATATATATATATATATATATATATATATATATATATATATATATATACTATATATATATATATATTATTATTATTATACTACTGTTAATAAATTCACATTTTTAACATTTCAGAACAAATTTAAAACCATTTAAATACTTTCGTAGTAAATAAAGTTTTAATCTTTTTTTCGTACTAAATCATAATAAATAAAGTTTATTTCTTTTTTTTAATTCTGGTCTCAAAATTTTGATAATATCAGCCACATTATATTGTCTTTTCCCAGCCAATTTTGCGCATATTTGGCAAAGGTAATTTAAATTTGTGTAATGTAATTCTATCTAAAAGCATATAACCTTAGTATCAAAATTTAAATATAAATATTAAATAAACTGTATATAAAGCATCAAAATATTTGTGAAAAACTAGTGCTGGTGTCTATTGGCTTATTTTAGCTTGTAGTGGGGGCTATAAAGTTAAATATTTAGCAAAAAATTGTGATATCAGTATAAAACTTTGCGAATTGTTCTATACAAAACTATACAAAACGATTTAGAAAAAGACCCCCTTGCAGATGTCTTAGTTTTTGAGTTAAACAGTTTTATATTTTTAGAGAAATGGACTTTTTTATTTTATAGTGTAAAATCGGCTTGAAATATAGACGGAAACCATGCGCGTGGTCATATTGTAAAAGTTTTATAATTAATAGAATTCATTTATTTATTTAGGTAAGTGCAAACAATGTATGTAAATAAAAAAGAACGAAGATATGTTTGTTTTATGTAAATACATCTTTTAAAATAAATAACTTTCATGAATACGAACGTCATGCATTACGTTTTTTGGTATTCCCAGAGCCATTATAGTTTACCAAATAAATAGATATATTTGTAATTTAAATTTTTTAAATGTTTAACTATTTATTAGCATTTATCGACTACAATAAGTTAATATTAAGCTAACTATTTACAGATGGTTTTTAATGTTGTTTTACCATATTTATGTAAAAAAAGTGAAACCTATAATAATCAATATAATCATTTAACAAAATTAACCCTTAGAAGTTTATATCAAATGTCTCAGAAGAGTTTTAAATTTATAAATGCTGCAACAGGGTATGAATTACCAACAACAACAAGTAATGTGACTAAGTAGGATAAATGCTTCATATGTCAAAAGGAATCATCAAATAGCATTATTAATCCATCTAAATCGAAAAATCTACAAAGAGACACTGGTTATAAAACATTACTTAGTAATCTAGAAAAGTTCAGGTTTGGGTATATAGAAATATATTAGTTTTTAATACACCTTTTTTGTCATTTGTTTTTGACAGAGGATAAGTTATTTGAATTTATCAAATAGAGGATAATATATTCTTATCAGGTATAATCATGTTCTACTGTCATACTTTCTTAAGTATCAAAGCAGAGTTTAATTTTCTCACTCAAAATTACTTTTTTATATTATTTATCTCAAAGAATCTAGTAAGTAATCTTTTGCTAAAAATTGAGATTTAATTATTCAGGTAGTTTGACAGCTGATTTAACTTCTAGACTACAATGTGAAGATTTTATGCAACAGCTTTGCGACAACAATGCGGTATATTGCAAAAAATGTTATACAAATTTTGATAACTATCACTACCAGAGAAAACGAAAATAGACATTAAAGGTGACGCAAGAACTACCAATCCCAAGCCATGGTACAAGGTCAAAATTTCAGGCAAAGAACTATCAAGAACATTGTTTCTTGTGTGAGTAGCTAGATAATAAAAATCAAGTGATGACTCTCGAACTAGATAAAAAGGTTCGCAACTGTGCTGAACTTCTATCAAATGCGAAGTTACTCGCAAAGCTGAGTGAAGGTGATCTTGTAGCTACTGAGGCTCATTATCCTAAAGCTTGTCTTAATCAGTTATACTACTGCTTACGTTCGTTACAAAAAGACCAACCAGTAATGAAAAGTGAAAACAACATCGTTTACGGGATTGTCCTTGGAGAGATAATGGAATACATCTATCAATGATATGAAGATGAATCAGCTGTTCTTGTGTTTCAACTTTCAGGACTACACCAATTGTTTTGCAATTGTATGAAAAGTTATGATATAAATTCAAAATGTGAAAATAAAAAAATACTAAAAAAATTTTTTTTTAATCTAGTACTAGAATTAGGAGAATTTAAAAAAGGTAGAGAAGTTTTACTGACATTTAAAACGTACCTGAGAACTATTTCTGGTTCTTGCTATTTAGCAAACGAGGAAGAGGAAATATGTTTCGCAAAACCAGCTGCTGTTTTGCGAAAACAAAGTTTTAAAGCTGTAAGTACTGATAACGTTCCAACATTTTCAAATGATTTAAATAATGACCTAATCCCAAACACATTAAAAAGCTTTGTTCGAATGGTGTTATACGAACAAATAGTTAAAGAAGTTATCAATAATTCAGCACGTAGTAAAGTTGCATCAACTATTTCTCAACTCATATTTTACAGTTGTTTAAAAGTTCTAACCAAACAATCAGGAAAATATATACGTCGTAAACCAGATGAATTCCACCTTTTCCATTATATGTTGGTTTGAATATATATTCCAAAGCAAGAAAAAAAAGTATTGTAAATAATTTAGCAAAGTTTGGAGTTAGTGTACCCCAAACAAGAGTTAATACCATTAAAACCACACATACCAATCAACTATGTAAACTATACAATGATAATAACTTGGTATGTCCTATTAAAATTTTTTTTACAACTGCAGCAATTTGTAACATTGATCACAATCCATCTTCGAGTGCAGCTACCAAATTTTTTTATGGAACATCAATATCCATATTTTAACTTGTTGAAGTGGAATTAGTTGCAAAGAAGTTCGATTATTCGATTCGAAAGTTCGACTTTTTGGGAAAAGTGACTAAAAATATTTTGGAATTATCATCATATTACACGACAATAGAGCCTACTAAAGACTGTTCTGTAGAATATCCTTTACAAACAATTAATTTCTATCAATTCGAAAACTTTGATGCTTTAAGTGACTCAAGAGAATGGTTGACAGCTGTAGTTAAAGTTTTACAAAAAATTGGAAGGAGAAGACACAGCTGATATATCTTGGGCAGCATTTCATTCGAATGCTGTAAAAGATAACCAGAAAACAAAAAATACTTCTGTTTTATAGCCACTTATCAATGAATTTATCAACTCAATATCTATAGTAAGACAAACTTTTAATATAGTTCAAAAAGTTTTAGCAAAAATTGATCCAGATCAAGTATCCATAATAACTGCTGACGTTACTTGTTAAACTTATGCGTTAAACTTATGCGTTAGGTAAACAAGTTCAGTGGCACTATCTGGAATTCTATGGTGAAGATAAGTTAATAATGATGGGTGGGTTATACATAGAAATGGCCTTATTATTTTTGGTTGGCGATTGGTTAGAAGTGTTTGCTGTGATGCCATAACTAAAGTCGGTATAACAACTTCTGGTCGAGTCGAATCTATGCTAAATGGTCAAAAAGTAAAGCGCTCAAGGTATGCAGCCCAAGTTTCATTTACTGGTTTATACTCACTTTTGACTGAAGAACACTAAAAAAAAAATTTACAATTTTGTTTGAACTGTGGATCCAACAACAAAGAACAACATACACACAATTTAATTATTGGTTCACTAAAATGGAGCTACAAGGTTTGTTGTTATGGAGCTACAAGCCTTATTGCTTGTTAAGAGTTTTAGAATGGGAAATTTCAATATGTTTGTCAGTGCCTTAGAACAAATTATTGCTTGGATGTTTGCTTTAGATCACACGCACTACTCTAGATGGCTTCTAATTTTTCTTTCTGACATGAAGATGCTTCCACATAGGCACCCTGAGGTTTACACTGAATTCTGCAAAGGTTTATTTGCTTTTCAAAAGACAAGACGCCTTTTTTCATCTATGGCTACAGATCAAGCCAATGAACAAAACATTAAGATTATAAAATGAGATGGTGGCTCAATTGGCGTTTTAAATAACACAAGTGCTTTGATGAAGTGGATAGTGTGTGAACCACTACTTGCTGAGATTCTAGAAAGGTTTGGAGAATAAGAAAATGAAGCTAGGAAAAATCATCACGAAGATACACCTACCTTTGAAAAGAATTATAATGAACATGTATTGGAATTTATTGAAGTTATTAAAGATTTAGGAAATCTGTTTTTAGTAGATTCTCATAAACTTATCAACGATGATATTACTTGATGCAGAA